CCCCCCCCCCCCCCCCCCCGCCCCGCCATGCTTGGTGGTGCACACCTTTAATCCCAGCACTCAGGAAGGAGAGGCAGGCAGATCTCTGAGTTTGAGGCCAGCCTGGTCTATGTAATAAGTTCCAGGCCCTCCAGGACTACATAGTAAATCCTTGTCTCGAAAAGTAAAAATTTGAAAGATCTGGGGCTGGAGAGATGTCTCAGGGGTTAAGAGCACTTGTTAGGGGACCTGGGTTTGGTTCCCAGTACTGACATGGTAGCTCACAACCATTGTCAGTTCCAGTTCCAGGGGATCTGACCCCCTCTTCTGACCTATGCAGGCACCAATCACACATGTGCTGCACATACATGCATGCATACAAGCTTTACACTAAAACAATTAAATATTAAAAAGAAATGTCTTCAGACATTAAAAATCTGCCTCCAACTCCTTCTGGAGACAATGCCTGGGGCTTGCTTTAGAGAGTAGTCCTGATGGTCTGAGGCTAGCCTTTGGCTAGCCTGAGCCAAGCCTAAGGACCGTCCACCACCCAACCCCCACCCTGAGCTAGGAGGGAGCCCAGGAAGACCTGGAAATGATTCCTGCACAGAAGAGCCAGACTCAAGGAATGTGGAGAAGCAGAACGGGACAGCTGGGGGCGGGGAGGGGGCACAGGAGGACTGGAGGGGGTAGAAATGAGTAAGGAAAGGCAGGCCAGCCTCACGGTCCCCTTCCCATGGGACCCTGTGGCTGTGCTGTGCACGCTGTAAGATCCTCCCTCCCCCATCTTGTCTGGGGACAGGGCAGCTTCAGGAGACATCTGATGTGTCCAGCAAGCCTCTCTGCTATCTGACAGGACAGGTACCCATAGCCCTCAGCCCTACTCTCTGGGGTCCTAGGCAGGTTGTTTGCCAGGCCTGTGGGTGTGGTGCCAGGCTGGGAACGAAAGCCACTCCCAGCAATGGCTCACCTGACAGATTCCCTTTGGGACCTTCTGAGCCTGGAATGGACTTTGTCCTCTACTGGGAGAGGCCACCGCCTGCCAGGGCCTGTGCTGTCCTGCACGCCCGAGACACTAGCTTATGAGTGATGGGTGTTTGTTGGTAGGAGAGGAGAAATACTAATGACCCTGGGCCCTTCTGTGTGGTCCACTCTTTCTGAGCAAAACCATCACTGTGTAGTCTGTCCTGGGCCATCAGAAGACACTAAGCCAACTTCCCCAGACCTTGGTGAACCAGGAAAGTTAACATAGGTGTGAGGCCCTGGTTGGTGCAGCCCTGCCCCCACCACTTATGTGATAAACAGATGCCAGCTCCCGGGGGAGGCCTGGTGTGACTGCTAACATCCTCAGCCACAATTTGGAATGTCCTTAGGAATGTGCCCTCCCTTGCCTTTGGTACACCAGGCCCCAGCCCGCCCCTCCCTGGGGCCTCTGCCCCTAGGCTGCACTCAGCTTCTTGGGATAGTTTTAGCCAAGGGCTTCTATGTGAAAGAGCCTGGGGCTTCAGAGGGTGAGCTGAGACACACCAGCTTCCTGGGTGCCTTGTGCTTTAGCAGTGTGGGTTAACATCAGCGGTAGGACCAGCTCTGTCCCCTTCAGGGAGGGACAGCTGGGCAGGGTCTTGGCACCATTCTGTGCTCTGAAATGCTGGGTAGGATAGGTCTGTGACCTGCCTGGAGCTCTGGGGTGGGCATGATCCTTCTTATAGGCTGGAGTCACCAGTTCCTGCGGCCCTGAACTCACCCGAACAGCCTTGGTGCCCACCCCCACCTCTGGTAACCCCAGGGTAGCCATCCTTTCCAGTCCCCTCAGTCCCTCTGTCTCTGTCAGACTGGGCAAGTAGGTACCACACCCTGAGATATGTAATCGAGGGACAGTGCCCAGGGCACATGACAAGGGGGCACTGTGTCCCAGTGCTGAGCCCCGAGCCTCACCCCTGATGTAGGTGGGCGATAGACAAGGAGTTCCTCGAACTGTCTGGAAAACAAACTTCCCCTTTGGAAGGCATTTCTAATAAGTTGGGATTGTTTGGTTTGGTTTTCTTTTCTCTGAGATAGTCTCAAGGTCTGTCAGTCTCTCTCTCTCTCTCTCTCTCTCTCTCTCTCTCTCTCTCTCTCTCTCTCTGTGTGTGTGTGTGTGTGTGTGTGTGTGTGTGTGTGTAGCCCAGGCTGACCTTGAACTCAACTCCAGAGCCTCCTGTCCCAGCCTCCCCTGAGGTTGGGGGGTGGGGTGGGTGTGTATCCACAGCCCTCTAGGCCTACACAGCCCTCTTAGGCTCATGTCTTCCCCTCCCCACCCCACCCCACCCTCTTTTTTTTTTTTTTTTTTGGTTTTTCAAGGCAGGGTTTCAGATCTGCCTGCCTCTGCCTCCTGAGTGCTGGGATTAAAGGCGTGTGCCACCGCTCCCAGCCTGTTTGTGTCATTTTAACCTATATAAAGTTCTGAGTTTATAAAAGCTTTGATGTTGGCTCCTTTGTTTATAGAAAACTTTAAAGGGAAAATATTTAGGAAGGGAGTGTCCCCCACTTTACATTAGGGTCTACAAGGTCTGCGTGCCGGCCTCTCTCGTTACTAGTGTGGTATTTGGTTCAGAAAAGCCTTGGCTGGTGCTCTGTGGCCCCTGCAGCCAGCCAGGGCTGTTTTAGTGGGCTTTGCAGGTCATTTAAGAGCCTGTTAGGAAATCCTCAGGCAATGCCTTTGTTCTTACTGAGCCCATTTTACAGATTCACCTGTCATCATTGAGGACCCCAGGTTTCCAGGCCCCCAGCAGGGCATCCTGACGCGGTTGAGGACCTCCAATCACGGAGGTAAGTGGCAGCAATGAGGACAGTTGACCCTCAGCAGACAGGCCAGTGTGGATGACTGGTTCCCACACAAAAGCCTTTACTCTGGCTTCTGCTGTATCTGGGTCAATTCAGCTCTGCTCACCTCAGTCTCTGGGTTACAGGGATTCCCTACCCAGGGGGGACACTTGTCCCTTCCAGTAGCATCCCCCCCTGTTAGCCAGAGCCGACCGTAGGACCTTGCTGCACCCAAGGGAGAAGAAATAAACAGGTCACTCTGGAGACCACTGCCCAGGGCTTCCTACTGTGGGTGGGGTCAATTCTGAGGACGAAGTCAAAAAGGGGCTTAGGGCACATGCACTGCTGGCATGGACAGGTGAGGTGGCTGAGGGGTAGCATATTGGCGATGGCCGTCAGTTCCTGTGCTGGGCACTGAACCCCCTGAACAGTGGCTCAGGCTGAAGCTCCCTGCTGCCGTTCCGTTTGCACTGTGACCCAGGATTTACCTTAGGACCCCCAAGGCTGGGATTGTGAATCCCTATAGCACGAACAATAAAAACTCAGAGACAGAAATTGGGGTTCATCGTGAAAACTATAGAAAAGCAAGGCAGCCAAGCCGCTAGAGAAGTCTTATCTCTACAAAGACTGGGCAATCACAAACTAAGCAGACTAAGCCTGCCTCTCCTCTCATTTTTTTTTTTAAGATTTATTTATTGTGTATACAGTGTTCTGTCTGTCTGCTTGCTGGCCAGAAGAGGGCACCAGATCTCATTATAGATGGCTGTGAGCCACCATGTGGTTGCTGGGAATTGAACTCAGGACCTCTGGAAGAGCAGTCAGTGCTCTTAACCACTGAGCCATCTCTCCAGCCCTCATTTTCTTCTATTCCCTCTACTGCTGGGTTTAAGGGCGTATGATCCCTAGTCCTGGGGTTAAAGGTGTAGGCCACCACCACCTGGATTTATTTCTGTATTGATCTTGTATAGCCCAGGGAGGTATTGAACTCATAGAAATCCATCTGACTGTCTCCCAAATCCTGGGATTAAAGGTGTGTGTCACCACTGCCTGACCTCTAGTGGCTTTAGCTTGCTCTGGTCTTCAGGCAAGCTTTAGTTATCAAAATACAAATAATAGACCACTACAGACCCCTGACTTCAGAAACACGGAAAGGACAAATGTATATTGGCGAGTGTTATGAGAAGAGGTTTTGGAGCCAGCCTTGGTGCTGTGGGACATGGGCTTGGCTGGGAGAAGGGGATGCAGCCAGGCTGTACTTGGATCCTGCTCTCTTCATCTGTGTGGACAGGAAAGCCATGGTCAGGTAGTGACCTCTTCTTCCACACGCCATCCTGCTTGCTCTTTATCACGTAGTCAGGGTCAGACTTCCAAGGGCATCCCTAGCAGGTCCCTGGGCCTCGGGGTAGCCCATCCCCTTAACAAGAATGCAGAGCCAGACAGGGCCATGGTCACATCCACAGCATCTGCAGCAGGCTCAGGGAACTGTAACTGTTTCCAGGCAAACCACACACAAGGTGCCCAGGCATCAGTAAGGGGCCTAGCCAGGATTCTGGTCCTAGTCTATGGGGCCTCTGGGCCCAGCCGCAGACATGCCCTTGTTTGCACCCTGCCCAGGACCTAGTAGTAATGTCAGAGAAAGCAGGGTGGTCTCTGAGGTCCAGTCCAGCCACAGGCCGTCCCCACCAGAGAGTAGCTGTGTGTCTGAGGCAGAGTCTCAGATAAGCCCAGACCCCAGCTTCCCTGCACACCTGTAGTGCAGTTACACCACATCCCTGGGGTCGCTCCTGGTGAGCAGCCACAGCCAGCCCCGTTCTCCCTGTCCTTGCCTGGGAGCTGTTAGGAGAGGATGCTGAGAAGAAACAGAATTGAACACCGGGGAAGGCTGTATGTGGGACATCCCTCTGAGCCTCTCACCTCTTGCCTGCCTCTCTCTCTAGGTCCCCTCTGCTACCCAGCATGTCCCAGAGACATTCTGACAGCTCTCTGGACGATAAACTGTTGGAATATCGTTTCCATGCAGAGCTGCAACTCGATGCCAATGGGAACCCTATGCCGAGGCTCCCCATGGTTCGTAACTCCTTGAGAGACAAGACCAATGCTGCCTTTGAGCCAGAGGCCTCCGGACCCCTGCAGGTGCCCCCAGAAGATGAGGAGCCACGACCCATCATCCTTAGCACTCAGAGCCCTGCGGCACTCAAGATGGGCACCCAGCAGCTCATCCCTAAGAGTTTGGCCGTGGCCAGCAAGGCCAAAACCAAGTCCCCAGCCCGCCACCAGAGCTTTGGGGCAGCTGTGCTCAGCAAGGAGGCCGCTCGGCGGGATCCTCGGCTCCGCTCAGCCCCCAGCTTCTCCTTGGATGACATGGATATGGACATGGGCCCTGGTGTGAATCTGAAGCGAAACATAAGGAACCAGTCCTACAGAGCCGCCATGAAGGGCCTCGAGTCACCCAGCAGCAAAGGGGACTCAGTCCAGCTCAGCCCCAAGCTCCAGGCCCTCGCTGAGGAGGCTGTTCAGCCTCCCGCTCGGTCCCCAGCCAAAAATAAGGTAGGAGTCTGCCCTGACATCAGGGATAGGCAGTGTCATCTCTAAGGTCTCGGGAGTTCACAGGCAAGGCGGTGGTCTGACCCTGTGTCTCCTACGTCTGCGTCACGCATGGCAGCTGCTGGGCGCGGGCTCCTGGCCATCCCACTTGAGTGGAATCTGTTCAAATCTCATGTTCTGGCTAGAGGTTAGGTCATGTTTTGGGGACTCTTCCATGTCCCCAATTCTCTGCAGAGTGGACAGCAGGGGGAATCAGCCACTCTTGAGCCCAAGCATGGAACCAGTCTATTTGATGACAGGTTCAGTGATGCCAGGCACGGGCTACCAGGGGACAAGGAGGGACAATGTGTAGCCCTCAGCACCCACCCGTCCTCCTGTCCTGCTGCTGCCCTGAGCTCTAGGCAGGCCTGCAGTCTCCGGGAGTCTGTTACAAACAGCCACTGAGCAGGAAGGCCACAGTTAAGGAGCAGCCTTCCATGTTCCATCTGCTTGCCCATTGTGTTGTCAGGGTCAGATGGGGAATCACAGCCATTCGAGACAGTTTCTTCCCAGGATACGGGGCTGGGGGTCCTTCTGGACCTTTGCTAGGTGCTTCCCTCAGACTTGGGGTGCCCCAGGCACAGTGCTCAGTCAGCTTCCATGGAGGCCTGGGATGGGCCTTTGTGGCTGTGTGACCCCTAACAGATTCCCGAAACTGAGGCTCAGTTTCCCCATCTGTAAGTGAAGATGGCCGCCATCCAGCTGTAGGCATACTCCAAAACTGAGTTCAGGCCCTTTGTTGCCTAGAGCTGTTCACAGCATCATGGGAAAAGCATGCTCACTTAGACATCAGCTCCCTAGACCCTGAACCACAGCTTGGCCTTGGGAGAAGCAGACACCTGTCAGATGATGGCCACATGGCTTGGCCAGACCACAAACTTCCATGAAGGCCGATCGTGGCTAGGGCAAGGCCTCTGTGTCTAAAGTGCCAGCCACTGTCCTTCATTACGGTTCCCCTACTACATCTGCCTGAGATGCCTGGACCCTTGATAGGCATCCCTGTACCTCAGGAGCTGGATCAGTACCAACACTGTTCCTAGAACAGGCCTGCCAAGGCCTCATTCATTCCTCCACAGTGGTGAGTGCCCTCTTCAGCACACATCCCTGAGACCTGTCACACGCTGGGGTGATAAGCTGTGGCTGCTGCTGAGAGCTCCTGTGCAGAGAGGGGGACTGTGAGGGTGTGGAGGGCTAGCATATGATGGTGCAGGAGGCCCTAGGAGCTTCCTGGGTGAGAGGGTTCCCTGTGGTCTCCCAGCAGCTTCCTGGGTAAGAGGGCTCCCCGTGGTCTCCCAGGAGCCTCCTAGGTGAGAGAGCTCCCCATGGTCCCCTAGGAGCCTTCTAGATGAAAAGATTCCCCATGGTCTCAGGGCCAGAAGGGATACGGTAGAGACTGAGGAAGGATTTGGAATGGAGGCGGTGAAGGGTGGGGGTGGGTGAGAAAAGGAGCTAGCCTAGGTTCAGCTGGGAGTGTCACACTTTCCTGGACCTGTAAGGGGAGTTTCAGGCCCCAACTGGTTCTAAGGAACCAGAAGCAACTGGCCTCTGCTTTCCTGGAACCAGTGTACCTGTGAAAAACCTGGTGTTCCAGCCAAGGAGTGGGGACTGTGGAGATGCCAGTGTAGAGTGGGGATTCCCCAGAGCTCTGCCCTCAGTTTCTAGGGCCCTGAATCAGGGTCAGAATCTCACCAGCAGCCTTCTGCCCACTCCAGACCCCCTCTTCATTCTCATCAGGTAACACCTCTTAACTGGTTTAGCCCCTAGGCGGCCTTCCTGGATCTATAGCAGCCCTCTGCCCTGAACCCCAACTTTTACCTGATCTGGCCTCTACGAAGCTAACATTTAATGTGCACCTTCTACATGTCAGCAAAGCCCCCTCCCATCTCTTCCATAGCTTGCTGTGGGGGAGGGGATCTCTGTCTGGGCTGCCATAGTAACAGAAGGGCAGCTGACCCACGCTTCCCTCTCCACTGACTGGCGAGGTTTCTGTCTTGTCTACAGAAAACTCTGGGACGGAAACGCGCACACAAGGGCTCCTTCAAAGACGGTAAGTGGCTCCCAGGAGGCTGAGGGCCTGGCATGGCCAGGAAGGAGTATCGGTAAGGCCAGCCAGGGACTGTTGGGTCTGAGAAGTTAAGGGCTGGCTGGGCAGGACATTCACTGGACACAGACCCCAGCTGTTGGTGTGAGTGTACATCTCATAGAGTTCCCTTGGACTCCCATCTATGTGACCCAAAGACAGCTTCACATGAGTATTCGGTGGGACCCAGGGTGGATGATGGGGCATCAGGCCTCCAGAGAGGCAGGCACTCATCTCTCTTCTGTGTGTGGACTCTTCCCAGTCTGAAGAGAGCCTACTGAGCACTGCAGCTCATGAGAAAAGAATAACCAATGTTGCTCTATCTTCCTGGTCCCACTGAGGCATGGCAACTGTGGCAAGAATAGCTCTCTGGTTGTCCACAGGCTGTGACACAAGGGTCTGAGTCTCTGGGAAACGGTCCCTGTGTGGACCGGCAGCAGTACCCAGGCTCCAGTGCAGGCTGACACAGCAGCTGCATGAGCTCAGAGATGCCCTAAATTGGGTTGGCCCATGCTAGACTGGGCCGGTAGTATTGTTGGCTCATGGGCAGTGACCGGCATCCTCAGACCTCACCTGAGTACCCAAGCCTCCCCCTCCCAGACCAGGCACAGCTGGCCTTACACAGCTCTGGCTAGTCTGCTTGGCCCCCACCTGGAGTGCCACATTCTACACGGAGCTGCTACCATCTCCCAGCCTGTCCTGTTAATCCACTGTAGGACACAGTGGGCCATAGGGGAGCCTGCATGTTTTTGAGAGCTTTGTGGGGCCCTTGGGAGGATCAGGCTACCCCCAAGCCCTCATGCAGACAGGTGACTCTGCTCTCCCCAGACCCCCAGCTGTACCAGGAGATCCGAGAGCGGGGTCTCAATACCAGTCATGAGTCTGATGATGACATACTCGACGAGCCCTCTGGCCCGGAGGGAGCTCAGAAAGCGGACACCACCATTGTGGTCAAGAGTTATCGGCCTGCCCAGCTCACCTGGAGCCAGCTCCCAGAGGTAAGGAGGCCCCATGGTCTTCCCTTTCCCTAGCTTGTGGTAGCCTGACTCTTACAAGGAGCTGAAACATAGCTTCCAGAGTCACCGGGATATAGTTTGCGTGTGGGACAATGAGTCTGTCCTCTGTCCTGGCATGTAGTTGGAGTTCCTGCTCGGTCTGACCTGAGGGGCAATGTGGACACAAGGAGCCCCCTTCCTCATTGGGGGAGCCTCTCCACTCTCCCCGTACTTCCTACATCTGAAAACAGGGCCATGTCCAGGCCGTGAGGGCCAGGATAGTGACCCCTATCCACTGCAGGCTCTGGGTGTGGCAGGAAATGGCGATGGTGGACTCAGCCTTCCCTTCACTTCAGTACAAAGGAGCTTCTTGTTTGCCTGCTGTGGGGGTGAGGGACCCCCCATGAGAGTGCCGACAGTGGGAGCCAGGCAAGGGTTGCAGTGAGGCAGAGTCTGGGCTTCACAAGTAGAAATGTCCAGCAGGACATATTTATCACCCTGCCGGATGCTAGAAGCTGGGGATGGTGCCCAACATGCTATACTCCGTAACACTGATTGCCTGATATTTAGAACCTGGACTACCCACGCTTGGAAAGCTGCAGGGGACCCATGCAATGTTGGATGTGCCTCTGCCCAGGCTGTGAGTAGAACACAAATGGAGGCAAGGCATAATGCGGTCCGGCCTGCCCCGACATGCTCTATAGCCATAGGCATAGGGGGAGCCACGCTGAGACAGCCTAGGGCCATTGGCTTCAAGAGAGGGAAGAGTGCAGGTGATAATGGCCCATGCCTTCCCTGGCAGGACTGACTCAGCTGCCCAGGTGGTATCTGAGTCATCACCCCCCCCCACACACACACACAGACACATGCATGCATGTGGGTGTGCTTGCATGCGTGCACACACACACACACACTCTCTGTCCGTCTTCCTGGCCTGGTCCAGGACTCTAGAGATGGAGAGGAAGCTAAGCTGGGGAGACATAGACAGCTGAAGGTTCCTGATGGAGGTGGCTGTGCCCTCCAGCTGGGTGTGGCCCAGAGGAGGATACAAGTGGGGGACCTGGCTCCATCAGCAGGCCCATAGCTCCTTTGCTCTTCTCAGGTATTGGAGTCAGGTGTCCTGGACACACTGTCGATGGAAGAACGTAAGAGGCAGGAGGTAAGGCCACCGGGAGTCCCTAGAGACGCAGTGATATCCTCTCCTCACCTACCCTCATGGTCACCTCATGGGCCAGATGACGACTGAGCCCTGAAGGAGCATCAGGAAGAACCAGAGTCCTGGCCGGGGATGAGGGGCATGTGTCAGCCTGTGTTTGATCCCCACCTGGTACCATCTTCCCTGGAAAGCAGAGTCCCTATCACATCCACACAGCCTGAGTTGTGAACCGGAACATGGAGACAGCCCTCCGAAGGGGTCCGCGCCCCCCCCCCATCTTCCCTCCCTCGGTCCCTCCGTCTGTCATCCGTGCATTATCTTCCCATGCAGGCCATCTTCGAGATCCTCACATCTGAGTTCTCCTATCTGCACAGCCTGAGCATCCTGGTGGCCGAGTTCCTGCAGTCCAGGGAGCTGAGGGCCACTATGACACAGACAGAACACCACCACCTCTTCTCCAACATCGTGGACGTGCTGGCCGCCAGTCAGAAGTAAGCTGGGTTGCCCTGGGTCCCCAAGGATGCTGCTTTGCCGTGACTCTAGGCAGTGATGTCAGCAGGGCCCTGGGTTGTACCTGTGGATGGGACACTTGGAGCAGCCACTGGCTTGAGATGGAGCATGGCAACCTCTAAGAGCCCTTGAGAGCTGGCTGTGGGGACACCATGGGCATCCTAGACTCCCATGAAGTGGGGGGGGGGGGCACTTCTCTCAGGTACAGCCTGTGTGACCAATGGGTACCTCACCTCAGCACTGGGGATGGTCAGCAGCACCCACAGAGTAGTCACCCAGTCAGGTGGCAGCCTCGAGTTTCGGCCCCAGGTCATGTTCTACCCAGCAGTGTCTGGTGGCCTGACCGGGCTCTAGTTGCAGGGCCTAGCATCAGAGGAGAGGCCAGGCATGCAGCGACAGGCTGGTGAGGGTGTGTGTGTGTGCGTGCCTGTATGTATCCTTGCATACTACCAGTGGGTATCTCATCCCAGCTCTGGGTGTAGTGCCTGCCTGTATGTGTTCGCTCATACCTGTATATTTTGTTCATGTCCTTAGCACAGACTGGTCAGGTAGTGTGTGGGGTCAGCCCTTGCTGCTGTGATATTCCAGGAAACCCCAGGTCTCCCTGACCCTTTAGCCTTGGCTTCAGTGTTTGATGAGACCCTCTCATCAGCCCCAGTGGAGTCAGAAGAGGTGCTAGCTCACAGGCCGAGCCCTCCAGACAGAGGATGCTGGCTCTTACATGTCAGGACCAGCCTGGCCCTTGCTGACCACTCAGCAAGAGCACACTGCTGTGGGTGTCCTTTCTCCCTCTGGAGGCTTCAGAGCCATTTAGACAGGGAACAGAGTACCATCGTATCCCTGGAGACGGGCTTCCCGTAAGAGATCCAGTGGCTAACTGTGGGAACTACCCGCTCCTGACTCATCAGAGGAGGGAAGGGGTCCGGGGAAGTGGGTGACCCTCCTGTAGACTCCGCCCCAGTGTGGTCCCTTGAGCCTCTAATTGCTCAGCTTGGTCGTTGCTACCCTGGTGTGGGACTCTCTGGCCTCCTCCCTGGCCATTCATAGCGATCTCCTCTGAGAATTGTGCTATTTGCAGCCAGTAGCAGGAGGCCAGCGCTTCCAGACCTTTCCAGGAAACCCCAGGACTCATGCATTTCAGCTGAGTGGCCTGACCTGCCTGCTTTTGCATGGGGGCGTGCCCAGGCAGCCTCAGCTTCCATTCATCCGTGGGGTCCCCATGCGCTTCTGAGCCTCTGTTAGCTACACAGCTTTTCCCAAGGGCCAATCACCCCCGGAGTGTACTTGTTTATAGGAATTGAGGTCCATGGCTCTGCTGAGTCCTAATGCTCACATCCAAGCCTGGAGGGCTCTTCTCAGATGGTCAGGTTTCCCAGCTCCCTAAACCAGGGCCTACAGACATGGACATAGCTCAGGCACAGCCACCAGGCTGGCTCTATGCCATCCTCCTGCCTGGCTCGTAGGGGGTCAGAGCTGGCAGTCTCCCCAGGACCTCTACCAAGAGCCCAGGCCTCCTTACTTGTCCCTTATGGGTTGGACTCCATGAAAGCAGATAGTTGTGAAGCCTTGCCAGGAGCTCGGCTGGTAGGATCACCTTAGTTTCAAGACCCATCCCTAGAGAGACATGGCCTTCCCTGGGCCTCCTAGGGCCCCAATAATAGGACCCTTCATAGGGTCGTTGCATCTCTGTCCGTGAACTCACACCCGGGGACAGGCACCGGGCTGGATGTTACAGAGGCAGTGCGGAGAGCTGAACGGTTTTGTGGGTCCTCTGATGACTTTGGACAGGTGTGGCCTAGCTTACATAAGGTTTTGCCCGACTCACTGGGCACCCGCCACGTACTGCCTTCAAGGCCGATCCGTGCATACATTTTTGTCTGCATACATGTGTCTGTGTAGGTGTGTGTGTGTGTGCGCCAACACCCATCCAAACTGAGCCTTCGTGTCCCTGACCGCTCCCCACCCCAATGCTGCAGGTTCTTCGAAGCTCTGGAACAGCGGCACAAGGCCCAGGTGTGTGTGGAGGACATCAGTGACATCCTGGAGGACCATGCCGAGAACCACTTCCACCCTTACATCGCCTACTGCTCCAACGAGGTCTACCAGCAGCGCACCCTGCAGAAGCTGTCGTAAGTGGGGCCCTTGTGCTCCCTCCAGGCCCACCCTGTGCAGGCCCCACCTGCACCACCTCTTTCTGAGGTCAAATGACAGAGTTTCCCTGTTGCAGGAGCAGCAATACAGCCTTCCGAGAAGCGCTAAGGGAGATTGAGAAACGGCCCGCATGCGGGGGCCTGCCCATGATCTCCTTCCTGATTCTCCCCATGCAGAGGGTGACCCGGCTGCCGCTCCTGACAGATGTGAGTATCCGGGAGGCTTGGGTGCAGCCGTGGAAACACGCCGGGAGGCCCTGCCTTTTAGGGTTGCCTCTCTGACCTCTTCCTCACACTCATACATCTGTAATTGGATAATTACAAAGCGTATAAGGCAGGGTGATTAATCTTGATCACTTTGCGGTCAGTAATAGGATACCGTAGCCTGGAGACACATCTTTAGGCAAGTGCCCATACGCCCTGGAACTGCAGAAATACCGCTATTCCCGAGGGCAGGGTCCCCTCCCAGAGGTGCAGAGGCCCTTTGTGGACTGTAGATGTCCTGCTGGGTCCAAACAGGAGCCCTCTGGAAGTCCTTGCTTGCCTGAGCACCCCCCCCCCGACTTCCAGAGTCCAGAACTGGTGGGGAGCCCCTGCCCCATGCAGGGCTCCTTGGGAGGGTCTTCACGGCTTCTCTCTTCCCCCAGACACTCTGCCTGAAGACACAGAGCCACCCTGAGAGGTACAAAGCCGCTAGCCGTGCCCTGAAGGCCATCAGCAAGGTGAGGCCACTTCTGCCCCGAACTTTCTGTGGTATTGATGCGGAAAGGGGCTAGATCCAGGGCGGTGCCACCGGGAGGGCAGGCACTCCACAGTATATGTGTAAACTCAACCCCACAGCTGGTGAAGCAGTGCAATGAGGGGGCCCACAAAATGGAGCGCACGGAGCAGATGTACACACTGCACACACAGCTGGATTTTGGTAAGGTCAAGGTAGGTGCCAACCCACCCACTGTACCCTGATGTCCTCCTCATAGGAGTCAGGGGCTTCTGGGGACATCTGCCTGGGTAGGATGGGTGGGGGATCCCTTGAACTTCCCCGACTCAGTAGCAAGGAGGTGTCAAGGCCTCTCCAGGACTGGCCACCCCCCCCCCCCAGCTTAGGCAGAACATTTGGCAAGAGCCAGAGAATCAGGGCTCCTCAAGGCTCTCCTGTAGGGTAGGACAGGACACAGAGCCTTCTCTGGTTCCTGTGGGCCAACTGAATGGCCGTTCCTTAAGGTTCAGGACGACCCCATTGGTTCTCAGTCATAACAGGGAGGCAGGGATTGTCCCTGTCATCGTCCCCACCTTGCCGGGTCCGTTTCCTTTATCTGTCCACTCTATCCCCAGTCTCTGCCACTCATCTCTGCCTCTCGCTGGCTGCTCAAGCGTGGAGAACTCTTCCTCTTGGAGGAATCCAGTATCTTTCGGAAAATCGCCAGCCGGCCCACGTGCTACTTGTTCCTGTTCAACGACGTCCTGGTTGTCACCAAGAAGAAAAGGTAGGGCACTCAGCTGCAGACGTCAGGCTCTATACAGAATCAGGTCTCTGCTTTCCCTCCCTGGCCCGAGAGACAAGTCTCGGGAGCACTCTTGAGGTTAACTGGCCCTGACGACTCTCCTGTGTCCCCACAGTGAGGAGAGCTACCTGGTCCAAGACTATGCACAGCTCGAGCATGTGCAGGTCAGGAAGCTGGAGGCATCGGAGCCCTCACTGCCAGCAGGCAGCAGCCGCAGTTCCTCCGTGCCCCACCCCTTCCAGGTGAACCTGCTACGTAACAGCGAGGGCCGCCAGGAGCAGATTCTGCTGTCCTCTGACTCCGCGTAAGATGGTGGACCCCAGTGGGGGGGGGGGGAGGTAGAGCACACGTCCGGGCGGGGTGTGCTGTACTGTGTCTGCATGCCTACTACATGCTGAGCACCATCGGTGCCCGTAGAACCGTAAGCAATGCACAGCCTGGCTCTGGGTATCTGATTTCCTTGTGGGGATACATCAACTGGTGAATTGCTGTACTGTCCAGTAACCAGGGAGGGAGCTTCAAGGGGAAAAAAGGACAAGTGTGGACGTGACCGATGGGCCTTCACTATTGTCAAGGTGGTGCTTAGGTCAAATCCCCGAGGGAGGGCTCAGCCAGCACTTCTGTACAGCTGTGCAAAGGCCCTGGGGCAACAGCAGGAGCTGAAGCACAGCAAAGGGCAGCAGAGTCCATGAACAGGGACTCATGGACCCCAAGAAGGAAGGAGGGTCTCAGCTATGCTCTCTGTGGCCTCCAGGAATGACCGGGCCCGGTGGATCACAGCCCTCACCTCCAAGGAGAGGCAGTGGCAGGGCATCACCAACAAAGGAGGTGAGTATGGGGTTGAGGTGAACGGGGGTTGTTGCAGCCCTGCGGTAGAGCTGGTCTGTCTAGCTCTCAGGCCACAACCACGGCCTCCCCAGGGTACCTAGCTTAGGGGCTGGACCTCGGCCCCTGTTGTATGTGTGACTATGTACTTGTAGCCACGGCTTAACCTTATTGGTCCTCCATCTGGGGAAACTGAGGTGAGGCCAAAGGAACAGAATAGTCTGTGGGGGAGCACCCCTGGCCTAACTCTCTCCATTTCCCCCAGAGCTGCCCCAGGTGGAGATCACCAAGGCATACTTTGCCAAGCAGGCTGATGAGATCACGCTGCAGCAGGCCGACGTTGTCCTGGTCCTGCAGGAAGAGGACGGTGAGTGTGGTCGGGCCACACCTGAGTGGGTGTCAACCAGACTGGGGTGCAGCCCAGATAAGGGTGCAGCAACCAGCCATGCTCAGCCTGCCTCATCCCCGTAAGCACTTCCTCAAAGGTTGGGGCTGGAGAGATGGCTCAGTTGGCATAAGGACCTGATTTTGAACCCAAGAGCCCACGTAAAGGAAAGCTGGGCGCGACGGCACATGGCCTGTGTCATCCCGGGGAAGCAAAGACATGCTCCATGCCTTTGAGAGACTTATCTCAAAAGTCAGAATGGGCAGCACCAGAGGAACTGAGGTGGTCTCTAGACCTCTATGCACATGGGTGTACGTACATGTATGTGGATCTATACACACACATGTGTAAACACACCACACTCAGGCTTCTCAAAGGGAGGACCGCCAGTACTAAAGTTAAGGGACCAAAGTGAGCTTGCTACTCTGTGCCCTAAGTGAAGCGAATGGGTGTCTGATCTCCTGGTGGTCCCAGCATAGGCCTCTGCAGGGCCCTGGTTGTGCTGGTGTAGTGGGTGCGGATCCCACCCCTCCTACATGCTGGTGTAGTGGAGCTGCCGGGAGGGCCAGGAGCCCAGGTGGCCTTGAGTGTCGCCTCCTTGGCTCTCTCTCGAGGCAGGAGGGGTGGTCAGGCCCTAGAGTAGAACCCTTAAGAGCAGAGGTGGGGTGGGAGGGTAGGAGGGATCCCTCTCACCCACCCGTCTGCATCCAGGCTGGCTACACGGCGAGAGGCTTCGGGACGGAGAAACGGGCTGGTTTCCCGAGAGCTTCTCTCGCTGCATCACCAGCCGTGTGGCGGTGGAAGGCAATGTGCGCAGGATGGAGCGGCTACGGGTGGAGACAGACGTGTAACTGCAGAGCTCAAAGCCAGCCACGGCGGACACGGCTTCAGTCCTTCAACCAGCAAGGGTCTCCGCCCTCCAGGACATGGGAGAGGTTTGTTCCTTGGGCCTTCCCACAGCCTCACGGTTACGAGCAGAACACAGGACATCTATCCATACCTGACACTTGATCTCTCGGAAGGCTTTGAGGCAAGCTCCAGGGCCCACATTCTGGTAGAAGCCCAGCCTGGCCTCTTGCTGGCCATCCCTTTCCTAGTTTTTGGCCACCTGAGCTGCACCCAGGCTAAGAGTGGCACAGGACTGTGGTCTTCATTGAGGACAACACAGGGCCACCTCCCAGATACACCCCCCCCCCCAAGTGAAACAGGAAGGGCCCCTGTTCTGAGAGGACCAGCAGGGATGTTATATATTGTGATAGAGGTTTTAAACAGCATTAAAGTATTTCTTTAAAACTTGGGTTTACACCTGAGCCTAGGTCACAGCCACTTATTGCACTGAAATCCCAAGGTCTAATAGGTGTGTGGAGACTGGCCTCGGGTCTCTCCTTCACTCTGACCCATCTGTCTACCAGAGTGTCACAAGTCTTTGGCTCCTGCTTGTGCGTTCATGGATGGTAATAGCTGAACCTTGCAGGGCTTACCTTGGCCACAGGGTTCTGAGAGCTCAGACACAGTAGGGACACTCTGGTATGGTGATCCCAGTCCCTGCAGAGGCCTCCCTCTCAGGGACCTACAGGCCCAAAAGGCAGCCTCCGTGCTGACTAGGGCCGGGCTAGTTCTCTCCAACAGCCCCCTCAGCCTGGTCCTGAAGCCCCATGGTTTTCTCTGCTTGGCTGGTGCTAGATTGGGGGCGGAACACCCAGCACGCAGTGTAGCAATGTGCCCCGTTCCGAGGTGCTAGCCTTGCTACAGAAGTGACCGATACAGGTGACTCTCCACTAGGTTCAAAAGCACAAATAGCAATGCCCTCCCATCCTAGGCCTTTCTAGACAGGCTAGGGCCAGCTACAGTCCTCACCAGGGTGAACACTCACCCATGTTTGGCTGCTTTGGACGGAGGGCCAGGTCAGAGTTCAGGGAATAGGCATGGCCTGGGTGAGTAGGCATGGACTGTCTGAGGTAGGGCCTAGTACCTCCTTCTGCCTGAAAGAGATAAACATCTCCATCTTCCTCACCCTAACGCTCTGCTTTCTCGGAGCTGCCGGGGTGTCTTCACACCCCGGCAGCAATCTGGGGGCCATGGAGTGGTGTACACGTGCAGTTGCTGTGTGTGCACTGATGTGTGCCTGTGGCAGAAGTGCCTTGATGTAAACCCACTGCCCCATGGGCTCGGGTTTATTCCCACTTCTGATCCTCTGAGGAGTGTGACAAGGAGAAGCGGACCAGTTTACCTCCAAGCACGCTTGGTTGCTAGAATGAGGTGGAACCAGAAGGCTGTGAAGCTCTGACTCAGGACACCTGGGACAGGTGACCCCACAGTCCTGACTCATCTGCAAGTGAAGAAAGCCAAGGAACAAGGATACTGCAGTGCCCGGGGGACGATGGACATCACGCACCGACAGAGGTCATTTGATACAGGGCCAGGTCAGGAAACCTCCCCCACTGACAGAAGCGTAAGGTTCTCAGTGAGGGTTGAGGGTTCCAAGCCAGCCCCACTCCCCAGCCGCAGAAGGCCCATCCTTTGTTGGCACATTTCTGTGCCCCCCTCCAATAACAGGGATCATGCGGGGTACCCTGCCCACCCACTCAGCTGAGGAGACTCAGTCCGCCCCTCCTGCCCACCTGGACTACAGAGAGAGACCTTCCTGTCACAGATGAAGGGCCCTCTGCCCACTGTTGGGATCATGGGCTTGCCGGAGGACATCAAGGCTTCTAATACCCTACCCACTTCCAGGGAGGTCTGTGGTCTGGTTGGGGCTAAGTGGGACCAGAGCCTCAGGTGCCTGGTGCCCTGACCCACCTGCAGCGGCGTTGCCAGTCATGGTTCAGCGGCTGTTGATCTGTGGGGCGTTGGGAGCCCTGGTCCTTCTTCTCAGCCAACCTCTGTGCCTTCCTCCATATGAGCAGAGTAGACCAGGCTAGGCCTGGTGGGCGTGCACATCTTAGCTTGAGTCAGAGCTATCTGAGGCATAGGGATGGTTCGAGTGCCGTGGACCAGTTCCAGAGACAATCCAGGCCTCTGGCCTCTGGCCTCTCCTCCAGGGAGCGTGAGAAAAATGAGTCCAGCTTCAATACCATGTGCACTCAACTGCACCTTCACCCGGCCTTGGGATTGCTATTTCCCTCTGCTCACCAAGCTCATTTCCAGTCCTTCCAGAACATCCCTGACTCTGCCAGGCTGCCTCGCTCCCACCGCCATGAGCCACCAGATGGCGGTGGTTTTTCCTCTCAGGCCCCCTGGTGGCCATAAGAAGCACTAACATGGGGACTGCACTTGGGAGGGACCCAAGCTCTCCAGCTTCTCCTAAGACTCTAGCTTTGCCCCCAAGAAAGCAAAGCCACAGTTAGGATTGCCATTCTGGTGAGAATGGTCCTCCCATGTCCTTAGCCAGTCATTGTGTTTGGACAATCAATTCCTTGTCCTCATCCCTGCTTGCTGGATGACACCAGACGTCACCCGTCCCTGAACCTCTGACTGAAGAGGCTAAGGCAAATCTGATTCTGTTCAGAGATTGTCCCTTTCATCACATCACAACAAACCCACTGTCTCCTATTTCCCTTTTTCTGAAGTCTACTTATTAAGTAAGTATTTTTATTTGATGTGAATGAGCGTTTTGCTTTCATGCCTGGAGCCCCATGTGGTGAAGCCAAAAGAGGGTGCGAGCATCTCTGGAGCTAGAGCTGTGGAGGGCTGTGACCCACTGCGTAAGTGCTGGGAACTGACAGGACCTCTGCAGTCTGCAGGGGCAGCAATGCTGTTAGTGGCCGAGCCATCTATTCTGTAGCCTACATTCTACCATGTGGGTCCCAGGCTCCAACTCAAGTCTTCAGGCTTGAGTCAGGCACCCACTGAACAATCTCGCCAGCCCCAAGTTCCTCTAATCTCTATTTATGCCAATCCTGGCACTTTTCTTTCCCCCAAAATGTATCCACATTCCTGTTGTAAAGGTGCTAGCTCACGGTTGCCCATCACACTCTCTGTAAAAATCTCCACGCTGTCTATAGCCGCGTCTCCCTTAAAAACATCAGTCTAGTTCAGGCATGGCAGTGCATGCCTGTAATCCCAGCACCTGGGAAGCAGAGACAGGAGGACCTCTAAGTCCACGTCAGCCTGGTCTACATGGCAAACTCCAGACTAGCCAGGGCTACATGCTAAAGCCTGTCTCAACCTCCCAACCAACCGATAGTCTGATGGGCATATTACTCTTCAAAGGAAAGCATTTTGGTTTTCTTACATGTAACTGGGTTGTAGAGCCATCTGCCTTGTGTATGAAGGGCTTGAGTTAGTCCCAGTACCTCCCCCCCACACACACCCACAGCCCTGTCTGATGAATACAAAGATTGCCTATAAATACAGATGTGTATCTGTAAAACATAATTATCAGAGGCACATATATATAACATGTTAAAGCTTGTGCAGATTGGATCATCGCTGTTCAGTCTGCCTAACCGACAGGTTTCTATAGAGAGTGTTACACTCTGTTGTATTTCTCTCTACCTGTGACAGCCGCCGTGTTCTGCGGACTTCTGAGCATTTGCTGTGTGTGTGTGTGTGTGTGTGTGTGTGTGTGTGTGTGTGTACATACATGTGCATGCATGTGCATAGACAGCCCACAATGCTTTGCACCATCACAACAGTAAAACGCCTTCCCCAGGGGCTGAAGAGATGGCTCAGTGGTTAAGAGCAATATTGCTTATAGAACCTGCATGCAATTCTTAGTACCCACGTCAAGCAGGCCATGGTCCTATAACTCCATCTCCCCAGGATCTGTTGCCTCTGGCCTCCACAGGCAGCCCCACTCACAGGCGCATACGTGTACTAAAGATAAACCTTTTTTGAACATGTTTTTAAGACCTCCTTCTGCTCTTCTTGCTATGGTTGTGTTTCTACCTTCCAGCTGTGTCTTTACAAGCTAGACGCCTTTCTTTAATTCTTTTAAAATTACATTTATTTGTCAGGAGGTACGCATGTGGAGGTCAGAGGACAACCTGCAGAAGTCACCAATCCCCTTCCACCATGTGGAAAGCAGGCTCAGGCTGTCAGGCTTGGCAGCAGGTGCCTTTCCCCCGGTCCCCCTTGCCAGCTGAGATCGTAGGATTTTTAGTGCAGTCTGGATCTATGTCTGCTTAGGTCCTGCTAGCCTGCCCTTTCCCTTCCCTAGTTCTTCCTGTCCCTGGACCACTCCCATCACCCTCCTGTGCTGGCTGCAGCTGCTGCCTCCTGGCCTGTTACTCACGGGACCAGCGATGCCCGGTCTCTAACTTCTCTCACACCTCCTCCATGGTGAACCAGTCTGCGGTTGACCTGCACCTGGGTTACAAGGCCAACTTCAGTTCTCTTCGTGATGGCACTGTAGGAACTGTGTTGCGTGGTCTCCCACGGCTCCCTCCAGAGCTCCTCCCAGGTTATTTCCAAATTAGAATCATGGGTGAACCTGCGGGCGTGGCGATAGTTTAGCTGGATATAAAATCGAGCTAATTTTTCAATACCAGTGACAGGACATCACCATTTCCTGGTCGCCTGCCTTCCCCCTGTAGACTTTCTGTCCGCCTGATTCTGAACCCTTTTTCACTCTGGGCACTTTAGAATTCCCCCTTCATTCCCACACTGCCTGCAAGCTATTCTCCACTCAGTATCCTGTCCATTCTGCCTCTAAGTCTGTGTGCAGTGGCCTACGGGCGTGGCTTCCGCTGCTGCCCATCCCACTGGAGCCCACGTGGTGCCCTGAGGTTTTGGCTGCCTCAACTTCTGTGGGAGAGAGGAAGGAGGCAGCCACTACCTAGATCCAAACAAGAGACTACTCCAGGTGGGAGGTGGGGGCAGAGTCTCAGATCCAAGTCCAGCTCTCCCTCAATTTTTGCTGTCCTTGGAGTCCCCCCCCCCGCAACAGCTCTGCTCTGGGCTACACCTGCGGCCTCAGCCTCAATCCATGGGGAGCCCTGGCTCCTGCGATACTGCCTGTCCCTCACCCTGCTGGGTGGGCTGTTTGGGTTAAGCATGGATCCCCTTCCACGCCAGCCCTGCCCTGCCCTCTCTCTCTGAGACGTCCTTCCTACTGGAAGACTTTCTAGCTCTCTGGAGGTGTCTTAGGCACCAGTGTGTTCTCCTTGGCCAGGAGCCAGAAGAATCCCTGCCATTAGAGAGGGGCACAGAACCCACCTGGGCCTCCTGGCTGGGGAGGCTCCCATGTGAGAGCCCGCAAGCCAGCTGCTCTTGGGAGGACCCACACCGAGTCCATGAAAAGCACAAAAACCCAGGCCACGAAGACACCAGTGTGCCTTTAACTCTCAGGACTTTACAAAACTGGAGATCCCATGGCCCAGCGGCCTGAGTCCAAGCTTCCGGGATGGGGTAGCTTCCAGCTGACCCAGGGCCGCGATGGCAAGTGGAATTGCCCATAAATACCTTTACATAAATACGGGCCAGACGGCGTTTCCAGGTAAACAGTTGGCTGGCTGCAGCGGTCTGCGGCCTTAGCACCAGAAGGACCTGTCAGGCAGGTGGGGCCTCGCCTACTCCTGCCTTGGTCCCAACCCAGGTCCCTAAAGAACCAGGATTCTTCAGCACAGCCCACAGGGTGCCCGTGTACATGGAGGCCTGAGGCCTGGTCCTCTTCCCTGGGCTCCTTGCGTTCACCACAGCCATCTTCCCCAAGCCACGAGGCCTTGGTAGGTAGCTGTGTGACCATCCACAGAGATCCATCGCTTTCCGGAGGAGGTGTGGATCCAGGAGTCCTACATCCACACATGTCCTCTCAGTCCCTTGGGCTGGAACATGGTAGTGGTCCTCTGTGGGACTTCCATGAGCTAATGCTTCATGGCCCTGCTGCTGGGTCGCTGGGGTGCCGGTCTGCCGGAGGATGGCTGTGTGGCCACTGGAGACACAGGAAGAAAAGAGGGTCAGCAACAAGGTGCGGTGGGAATCCCCAAGACAGCCAATTCCAGGATGAAGGTGGTGACCTTCTTCCCTCTATAGCCAAGTCCAGTAAAGGCAACAGCCCCCCCCCCCCCCCCCACCGCGATCCAGTCCCATCTCCAAGGTTCAGGTTCTGAAGGCACAGGGAAGCAAAGATGTTCATCATTGTGTGGGCCTAACCAGAGCCGTGTCTGGGCAAGCGTGTTCTCCACATGAACTCTGGGCTCCCAGGGAGCTGGGCCATAGACAGCTCATGTTGTCCACTTGGGTAGACACCAGTATTGGGCCAGTCAGGCATTAATCGCCCATGCCCACAGGGACCTCACACAGCCACCATCATAACCTTCTCCATACCACACTCATGTAAGCACTGGGGGAGGGGGTCTGCTCAGCTCCCACTCTGTCAATTCCAAGAAGGGTGGGAGACAGGGCTTTGAGGCTGGGTGGGAAAAGCTTCACCCAAGGTTAAGCCAAGCTCACCCCAGGGAAAAAGAACTATCCCAGGACTCCCAGGGGCCAACAATGCTCTCTCTCCCCACAGCCCCATCCTCAGAGATCTGCTAAATGGCAAGGGCCCTTAGGTGTAGTATCAGATTTGACCACTGGGTGCCACTGTGGATAGCAGTATGTACTCAAGCACTGGCCAGCAAATTGCAACCTAATCCGGAACCTGATCCTACCCATGAGCTCCAGGCATGGCTCTTAATAGTTTGAGGCCATGACCACCTTGCAGAGGCTAAAAATGATTCAGGCGGTATCCCGTCTGCACTGAACGCCTTCAGGCTGAGGACTCCTTGGTCTGGGCCCTCCTCTCTTTCATGTCCTACCCTCAGAGTGCGACTGCTGGCCTATCACCTCCCTCTACAGAGATCCGTCCCAGCTCCCTCTGCAGACTGGGCCTGGGGAGCCAACAAGAGATGCCATGTGGGCTGTGGCTATTCACGGGGGTGCAGCACAGCCAGCTCTACCTAGTATATGGGAGGTGCAGTCCCAGAGACTCGGGGACTTGGGGAATCAAAAGACTGCCCCAGTTCTACATGTGGCAAACACAGGCACAGTATACAATAAAGCATGTGTACACATGCGTGTCTGGTGCACACACGTGTATTGGAACATACATGCCTGGCTCAGGTATGCACCATAACACATGCACTTGAATTCCACAGAGTATATATGCATGCATGCCTGGTGCATGAACATCACAGGAGCTAGCATAGGCACATGATGCACAAAGATGTGGGCACACATGTACACCTGAAGCCATATACACACAGAGCACTCACAGCTGGGAAACACATACCTAGATCATACTTAGACCCGCAGAGTGTATTCATGGAACACATATGTACCGTGAAACTGCATACCTAAAGCCCATGCATACCCTCATAGAACATGTACCTTGAGCACACACACCATGATAATGCATGCCTGGGACACACATATATCAGCAAGACATGTCTGGAGTACACACACACCTAGAGCACACACACTAGGAAGGCACACGCACCTAGAGGGCACATGCCTGAAACATGTACACACACAGTGCATGCACATACAGGCTTGTGTCGCTGCTCTGGTGTACTGGCACATGTACACGTGCAGTATCTCACAACACGCTGGTGTACATACATGTATTGATTAACATGCATACAGTGCTGCTCACAGATACGCGGGCACACAGCACCCGCACGTCCTGAATCACCCAGCCCCGCCTGCATAGGGATCTGTAAGATCCCACGGAATCTGCAGGTCACTCGAGGGAAAGGGTTGGTGCTCCAGGCTGACAGTGCGTCCCATTATTGCCCTCGGGAACCCGCTTGAGGCCTACTCATGAACCACTGGCTGTGTGCATTCCATGGGTACCAGGAAGGGATGGCTGTGTTTCTCACTTGGTGGTGGTATTAGGACAAGGGGTGGGTTCCTGGCCAGGGGCAGGGAAGTCTTCGGTTCCTCCCCTGGGAACCTGACTCACCTTCCCGGCAAGTGGGCCCTGTGTAGCCGTCCACACAATGGCACCGCCCACTGATGGGGTCGCAGTCAGCCCCACCCCCACAGTCACAGTGCAGGGCACAGCCAGGCCCAAAGCGGCCCCTTCTGCAATCTGTAGGGGCAGGAGGTAGGAGAGAAGGGCATAAATCTCCATTCCATCTGCCTAGACCATGGGTAGACAGCCCAGGGGGCATGAGGCCCGCGGAGGAAGGAGACAAAACCATGGGCCTCAGTTTCCTCTGAAAAGGATAACAGTTCCTATGCACTTGCTAAAAAATCTGTGCTGTAACTGTGGGCTCCTACATGGAGAAACACCAGCCACAAGCCCTGGGCACACATTCCTGCCTGGTGCCTGGGCTAGTGAGGCAGCACAGAGCAGCCACATGAATCCAAGTCATTAACTCAGTTTTGCCCCCTAGGAGAACAGCTCTCCATCCTTAGGCAGTCTAGTCTGAAGGGGTCATGGACATATTTCCACCTGACTGAGGCCTTTCTCATGACAGCCAGATAGAGCCAGAGACTCTAGACTACCACAGAGCAGGGCCTAACCTCGGCAGCTACAGAGGGTGTCTGTGCTTGGTTTATCATATTCTGGCCACTGTCAACGGCCCCCAGAGGGCGCAGGCTGGAGAAGAGATCACAGGAAGGCACAGCGCTCAGGCTGAGGCCTGGCATGCAGGTACCCAGCCCACATGATTGGATATGTGTTATTGATGGAGACCTACCCTCAGGTCCCACCCTGGCAGGACCCTCCACTCACCCAGGTCACATGTGGCTCCTGTACGCCCCGGTGGGCAAAGGCAGAGGCCGCTGGCGGGATCACAGGGCACCCCTTTCTGGCAGTCACACTGCTGCTGGCAGCCGTCTCCAAAAAAGCCTGGATGGCACCCTGGTGGGGGCAACAGGCTCCGCGTTCCCATCCCCAAATCAAACAAGACAAGGAAAGGGTAAAGGGGTTGGGTGGGGGCCTGACACTCACCCTTCTCGCAGAACTGGCCGTGGAAGCCAGCGGGGCAGAGGCATTGGCCGCTGACAGGGTCGCAGGAGGCTCCCTGTTGACACTCACAGACTCCCTGGCAACCAGATCCGTAGAAGCCAGGGGGGCAGGCTGAAGGAGGACCCTGGTTAGAGTGAGTCGAGGGCAGGAGGCGACAGAAACCCCCAGTTTTCCCAGAATGAGCAAAGGACCGAACCCAGGAACTGAGAGAGGCCCTTCCCTGAATGTCTTAATCTCCCTCCTTCCCAGCTCCCACCATAAGCCAGCATCCAAGCCAGGCTCACATGAGAGGCATAAGGAGCTGGCCTGGGAGCCCACCTTCCACCTATCCTGTGTGACCCTGAGCCCAGAGCCTGATCGGGCTCATCCCATCTCTCCCCATGGACAGTGACTGAGAAAGTGGCCATTGCTCTCAGAACCAGGACCAGCCTGGATGGTGTGTCCAAGGTAAGGGGACAGCCCCACTCACAGTGCTCACAAGCTGGACCATAGAAGCCAGGACCACAGCGGCAGGCCCCCGTGGTGGGCTCACAGGTGCCGTTGTTCTGACAGGAGCACTTGAGGAGGCAGGCGGCACCATAGTGCCCAGCAGGGCAGGCTGTGCAGGGATGGGATACAGGTTTCTTAAGTGCACCTGACTCTGTGCCCCTACACAGCCGCCCGGATCCTGGGCTCTGCATCCTTCTCTGTGCCCCTACACAGCCGCCCAGGCCCTGAGCTCTGCATCCTTCTTGGGACCCTCCCTGCTCGATAGACACGTGTGGATGTTTTGGTCCAGCCGCTCTCGGAAACTCACCCTGCTCACAGTGTGGCCCCATCCAGCCCAGCGGGCAGGAACAGCTGCCGTTAGTAGCATGACACAGGCCGCCATTCCTGCAGGCACACTCAAGCTCACAGCCCTTGCCAAAGCGATTCTGGGGACACCCTAGGGGCAGAAGGCAGGCACAACTGAGAGCTCTAACAGGGGCAAGGGGTGGACATGTTCTGGGGATATGCTCCCCACAGACTGGCATTCACTCACAAATGCTTCCTGAGCTGCCTAGGGCTGGCCTTGCCCTCACGGTGTTCACAGCACCAGGACTGAGGGCCTGGTCTAAGATAAAGGGGACCAGGATCTTCAGGGGACTGTAAGCACCTGCACAGCTGGCAAGGAGTCAGGAAGGCTTCCTTCCCATCACACGTCCTTAGGACTGAGGCCACAGGTCAGGCATGGCCAGCCATGTGGACTCAGAGGGGGCCTGTTGACCACCTTGTACTGCCTGCCCGTGCCACTGTCCTTCCTAGGAGTGAACGAGGCAGCATCCTGGCTACTGCCTGGCCTTGGGCTTCTAATCTGACTACACCAGTCCCAGGCAGGAGCAGTAGGCCAAGAACAAAGGTTCAGAGAGCAGCCCCTGGTGAGGACTAAAGGAGGAACTGTGTGTGTGGCCCTGGGACTGGGTCACTGACCTGAGTGTGGACCATGACCACTGTCCCCTGGTTGACCCATTTCTTGCCAATCTAACTTTGTCTCTGCAGGGGACCCCAGCCTGGGCTTGGCAAAGGACCAGGAAAACACTCTTCCAAGAAGACATTACCAGGTCACAAAGTGCTACCAGGCTCAGGAGGAGGTTCCACTGGCCACAGAGACATGAACAGGCCATGGAATGAACCAAGTCTCAAGAGTCCTGTGTGGGTGGGGCCTGAGCTGGCATGAGGATGACCTGTTTGCCATCAGGGCAGGCATATGGTGAGGACACAGCTTCTCAGGCAAGGCTTCTGGAGAATTCACAGTGGCTGTTGAGTGTGACTGTGTCCCTGGGGAATGGGCACACACACACCCCTCGTGATGGGCTCACTTCAACAGCCTGCTCTGTGACTTGGTGAACTGTGCATGTGCCCAGCCCCCGGCAGACACTCACCATGTTCACAATGGACTCCAGTCTTCCCAGGAGGACAGACACAAGTCCCTGACACAGGATCACAGGCCGCCCCTTGCCCACACGCACACACATGGGTACAGTCGGGGCCAAAGCGACCCTGGGGACAGGCTGTGGAAAGAGCAGGTAAGTGGTTGCTTCCACCTGGGCTCTTTCAGAGGCTCCACGAGAAGCTCTGCTGGGAGCTGGGTCCCAGGCCATCTCTACAGAGATACACTGACACAACACCCATGTGACTCAGAAGAAAGTCCCTTTCCTGGGCGGGATGCTGGGCCACAGGGATGTTCTCAGTGCCTGGTATGTATCTGGAACAGAGCTGGCCAGAGATGGGGGCCCTCTGGGATCACACTGACGCCCCAGGGCAGCACACCCTCATTGCCACTCTACCTTAGTTCAGTAATGGGGGGGCAAGAATCAGGGGTGTGCAGGGGGCTGGCTGTCCTCCTATAGGCCGGCCAGCAGGGCCCTACCCCCTCTTCCAGAACTTCAACAATAAGCCATCCAGCCCTGCAGCCTGGCCACTCACCAAGGCTGCAGTCAGACCCCAGGAATCCAGCAGGGCAGTAGCAAGCTCCCGTGGCCGCATCGCAGGAGCCACCATTGAGACATTTACAAACTTGTTCACAGCCTGGCCCATAGCGCCCAGGTGGGCATCCTGCAGGGAGAGAGAGGGTCTGCTACATAAGCTGGGGGGCTGGAGTCAAACATGCAGCAGCCCTGACCATGGCATGGCTGCCCTGCGAGCTGCAGCCCTGAACACAGCACGGCTGCCCTGCGAGCTGCAGCTCTGAATACAGCATGGCTGCCCTGCGAGCTGCAGCCCTGAACACGGCATGGCTGCCCTGCGAGCTGCAGCTCTGAATACAGCATGGCCACCCTGCATACCAGAAGAGCAGACAGAACCCCAGCTTCCCCAAGGCAGTGGGCGGCACTCACGTTGCTGACAGTCGGTGCCATGGTAACCGGCAGCGCATACGCAGGCCCCTGAAGCAGAGTGGCAGGTCCAGGTCTCACCAGGACATTGGCATAGGTGCCCACAGTCCTTTCCAAAGGTGCCAGGCTGGCAAGCTGGGTATAAGTTGGGTAGGGTCAGCCCTGGTCTAGCCCTCGGGAATCCCCAAGCTGTCCCACTCTACGGCGTAGATGTTGGGGGGAGTACTTACCCTGCTCACAGCCAGGTCCAGTGAAGCCAGAGGGACAATGGCACTCCCCAGTAACATGGTGGCAGGGGGCACCAGGTGGGCAGCGGCATCGCTGTGCACAGGACTCTCCAAACCAGCCACGTGGGCAGGCTGCAGAAAGGGGAGAATTAGGCAGGCTTTCCTGGAGGTGGGCGGCTGGGAGCCCTGAAGCGGCTGTGCAGGGCCAGCTCCCCGCAGCCATCCGATCTGTGCTCTCCTGTCTAGGTGAGGGGTGCAGGGCCAGCTCCCCGCAGCCATCCGATCTGTGCTCTCCTGTCTAGGTGAGGGGTGCAGGGCCAGCTCCCCGCAGCCATCCGACCCATGCACTCCTGTCTAGGCTCACCATTCTCGCACTGTGAGCCCCTCCATCCTGGGGGACAGAGGCAGGCCCCGGTGACATGGTGGCATGTGGCACCTCTCCGGCAGGTACAATGCTCTTCACAGTGAACTCCAAACATGCCCTTGGCACAGGCTGTGGCATGAGAGACAGACAGGAAGACTGGGAATTACAGCCTTGGGGCCTCAGCCCATGGAAGTCGAGGGGAAAAGGGAGGCTGGGTCTAGAAGCCATGAAAAGTTATGGAGGGCCCTGAGGATCCTGACTCGGCCTGTAAGCCTCAGCAGCCCCACGCTTAGGTCTGAGCAAGGGGCTGTCTAGGTTGGCCTGCATAGAAAGGGAGCCAATGAGTGAAAGACTCAGTAGGTTAGAATGAGGACGAGCCAGCCCAGTATCCACTTGTCTAGACTCTGAGGGGTTCAAAGTCTGGAGGGGGTGAATAGGATTAAAAGCTACAGCCTGGGCAGCTTCTTGTAATCATGGAACCCTGGGCAGTCTAGGCTTCAAGTCCAGAGACCAAGTCTTTCTCTCTGAAGCCTTGAGATGAGTATACCCCTCTTTCCAAAATAAAAACAAACCAGCCAATCAGGTTGGCCTCTTAGGTACAGCCAGGAGGCCCTGAACCCGTTCAACAGTGGGCCATACTGGCGAGAACCAGGCCTGGCCCATACATATCTTCAGCATGGAGTAAAACAGGGTTGCCCTTGGCAGAACCTCCCAGCTTCCCAGAACCCACTCACGGCTCTGACACTTGTCCCCAGTCCAGCCGGCTGGGCAGAGGCAGTGCCCTGTGAGCCGGTCACATACGCCTCCATTAAGGCAACTGCAGCTGAGCTGACAGCCAGCTCCGTAGTGTCCAGGAAGGCACTCTGAAAAAGTACGGGTAGGGAGAGTCTGACTTTCTGGGGTATGGCTCTGTCCGGGAGATACTAGCCCAACATCCCTACATCTGTGTCCTTGGGTGGCAGGCTGGACACCACAGCCACCCCCAGGGTGCTGACCCTCCAAAGGGAGTCCTCTTAGGCCTGAGGGCATGTCTACTACCCAGGCCAGCCAGCTTACCTTCCTCACAGGCCAAGCCGGTCCAGCCCTCTGGGCATGTGCACTGGCCGGAGATGGGGTCACAGCTCCCTCCGTTGCGGCACAGACAGGAATGTTGACAGTCCTTGCCGTGCAGGCCAGCAGGGCAGGCTAAGGCCCAGAAAGCAGAAGCAAGCCTCAGTGTCTGGCCAGCAGAGTTTCCACATCCCCCAAAGCCCACCCTGACTTTCAAGTTAGAATCTTATCAGGGCTGGTTTTATGATGTCTGAGCCCAGGCCTGTCCTCAACCTACCAGCCTGGCCTCGGGAGCATGGCACCAAAGGCCAGAGTCAAGATCCCTCCTAACTTCCCCCATGTCCCTCCATGGCCCCACTGAGAGACCATTACCCAGGACTAGACCCTGAACTCACAGGCAGGGCTTACCCTGCAGGCAGGTGGGTCCCATCCAGCCAGGGGCACAGAGGCATTGCCCATGGACGGGGTCACAGGAGGCCCCGTTGAAACAGGTACAAATCTGGCTGCAGTTAAGCCCATAAGTGAGGGATGGGCAAGCTGTAAGCAGAGAGGAGGCATCAGGGACATAGCCAGGGGACTCCAGGAGAAGGTGTCAGGGAGCTTAGACAATCTGCCAGAGTCTCAGGGCCACCTCTCAGCAGAGCAGCCACCAAAGGGGTGGTCGTTTAGAATCTCATGGGCGAAGCTGTGTCCTCGGTTGGATGCCAGGAAAAGGCCCCAGGGGTGTCCCCCCCATCATGAAGAACCTGTGCTCCCACAGAACCCAGGCTGAGGCCCCTTACATACTCTGGGCGCATTGTGGGCCCCAGCGGCCAGCTGGGCAGATGCAGGAGCCGGTCACAGCATCGCAGGTAGCCCCAGCGGAGCAGTTACAGGCATGGGCACAGTCTAACCCGAAGAAGCCAGCGGGACAGGCTGCAGACAAAAGTGGCATTGACAAGAGGCTCAGAGGCCAGAGGACCCTGCCCTACACCCAGTTCACCATGTTCACACCCCAGCCTGCACTCCTAGTTCACTCTGCTCACACCCGAGCCTGCACCCAGCCCACCATGCTCACATCCCAGCCTGTACCCCAGTTCACTCTGCTCACACCCGAGCCTGCACCCAGCTCACCATGCTCACAGAAGCTGCCCCTCCAGCCGGCCGGGCAGGTACAGGCCCCACTGACACGGTCACAGGTGGCCCCATGCTCACACTTGCACTTCTGTTCACAGTTAGGCCCAAAGTACCCCTGGCGACACCCTAAGACACAAAAGCCAGCTCACTGTTAGTTGGGACACCAAGAGTCTGGCCAGAGCCCAGGACTGAAGGGAAAGGCCTGACAAAGAAGCCCCTCCCCTCCCAACGGTGGGGATACTTGACTTTACCACACCCCTCCACCCTTTCCCCAGACCTCATCTTCAGAGCCCACTAGGCTCTCCCCTAGGGCGGCCTCTAAAACCAGCTACTCTGACTCAGCCCATCCGCAAGCCTTGGAAGGACACAAACAGGGGCCTAAGGAACCCTCCTCGCCCCCCACCCCCACCCTGGCTGGGACAGCCCCAACTCTGCACCTGCTACTCCAGGCAAGCTTGAAGTCTGCTACTGACAGGTGCATGTATGGTATGTGTGCACTGGAATACTCAGGTACATGTGTACACATGTATGTGCAGATGCAAGTGTTTTCGTGTGTGTGGTCACACGCCTGTGCATGCCTGTGTGCACACTGAGAGAGGGGTACAAATGCCAGGCCAGTACTCACACTGCTCACACCGAGGACCTTCGTAGCCAGCCTCGCACAGGCATAGGCCACTGGTGGCATCACAGCTCCCATGGCCCACAGTGCAGTTGCAAGCGTGGATGCAATCGGGTCCCCAACGTCCGCTGTCACAGGCTGCAACAGAGTGAGCTCAGAGTCACCTTGGGTGAGCTCCAGAGCCATGTCGTCTTGGGCCAGGGGCAAGGGAGGGACCTGTGCACAAAGGACGGGCAAAGGACCCACATACCTCTCTGGCAGCTGAGACCAGTCCACCCTGGAGCACAGCTACAGCGGCCAGTGGCTGGGTGGCAGTGTCCGTCGTTGGCACAAGCACACCTCATCTGGCAGCCAGTTCCAAACCAGCCAGCTGGGCAAGCTGTTGGTGGTAAAGAGGGTGAGCGTGGCAGCCTGGCACACCCACCCAGGAACACCGGTGGAAGCTGAGGTCAGACACCAGCCATACTCACCATCCTGGCAGCGGCTACCAACAAAGCCAGGGAGGCAAAGGCAGACTCCAGTCCCAGGGTCACAGCTGGCACCGTGTTCGCACGCAGGGCAGATCTCCTGACAGCCAAGCCCCCAACGGCCCTCGGGACAATCTAGAGCCCACTTCCAGGGTCAGTTATTCTTTCCCCTGTACCCTAGCTGACACACTGGTGTGTGCCCAATACATCACTGGAGGCCTCTCTTGCCATAATCCAGAGAGGGGACCACTGTTCCCATATAAGACTGCTAAGGAAAGAGGCAGGCCTCAGAACCCCAAGGCTGCAGGGCACCCCAGGGACAGTTCAAGAGCAAAATAAAGAGCCTGCTAGAGAGACAGGGAGCTGATGGTCCAGGAGGGTACAGTGCAGGGCACCTCCCACACCCCAGCTTGTTCCAGCATGAGTCCCTGAAGTTATTATAAAGGAGCCCAGCACAGCATGGTCAGGGCTAAGCTTCCAACATGATTTATGGTGGGGTTCCCAAGCAGATCTGGGATCAGGGTCCTTAACTGTAATCTAGACTGAGGTCCCCCAAACAGAGCTTGGACTGGGATCAAGGGTCCCCAAATGTGGTCCAGGGTGGTATTCTTAAAATCAGCCCAGGGTTGGGCCCCCTGGAGCCAAGCAGCTGTCACTCACCTGCTCCACAGTCCTCCCCCGTCTTCCCCGGTGGGCATAGACACTGTCCTGTGACCCGGTGGCAGGGAGCCCCCACACAGGAGCAGGAACCTGAGCAGTTCACACCAAACGTTCCTACTGGGCACTCTGTAGGCGAGAGCAGATGGCTTCAGTCACTCTGTATGTAGCTATCAAGGCTAGGAGCGTCCTCTGGAGACCCACGGAGAACAGGACGGGTTGATGGGAACAGGAACTTGGTGGGGGGAGATCTACAAGAGGTCAGTCTGGGGCATAGGGAAAGGCAGGGGCAGGGATGCCAGAGGGCCAGGCAACCTGTCAAGCAGACGCTATGGGCATCCAGGACCCTGGAGAGCTCCCAGGAGCAGGGGACAATTCCTGTTCCAGGATGGTCCACCAAGGGGGCCACTACTAGCCACTTCAACCAAGGTGTGCCGGCCTGTCCCCTCTGTTTCATACCCAGCTCCTCAGCCCCAAAGCTGTAGCCATCGGCTGGGAGTGGGGTGGGAAGAAGCAGTAATGGGTCCACACAAAGAGTAAGGAAGGACACCAGAAGTCTGGGGCCCTCCACACTCTGAAATGTAAGTTACACCAAGGAATTAGGTATGGGAATTAGGGTGTCCTGTACAGGAATGGTCAAAGGCAGGGCCTCATGAATGCATATGGTCCCTGAAGTGCCCTGGGTACCAGAAAGCCCTGAGTGGCCTTACTTGGTAAAGCACCTGTGCTCCCTATGACTCCTCTCGGGGGAGACTGGGGTAGGAACTGAGGAAGTCACAGCAGGATTTCTGCCTGCCTGGCATCTGCCCACTCTGCCCGTTGCTGGAATGAAAGAGCAGGCCTGATGCAGAGGCACGGCAGGCAGTGGGGACCAGGCATAACACGTGTGCGTGCGATAGGTGCCTGACCATAGCACCCACACAGGCGTGAGCACGCACACGCGCACACATGTGCACGCACGGAGACAACCACACAGCACAGACCAGGGAGAAAGCCCAGCATTGCTGCTGAGGTGGTCCCTCAAGGCCTCAGGAGCTCTTCCCCTGAGCACAGACTTGTGCTTGGGGCAGGAATAGTTTCCAGACCTAAAAACAAGGGGAAGGGGAACCATTTCTGTAAAAGTATGTGTGTCATTTCCTGTGGTTTATCCTTGGGGGCCCTGGAGGCTTCAATAAAGAAAGGCAGAGGGGGTTCCTTTTCTTTTTAGCACAGGGGGCTGGTCCCACGGCTGCTGGGAAGGCTTCCCTGCACAGCCGCCTCACTGGGCCTGGCATGTAGCACGGAATCTGGAAAAGGGGGACAGAGGCTTAGGAAGGAAGGCATGCGACAAGTCTGTGTTTATGCAGGCATGTGTGCGCGCATGCTCTGGGTGGCCTCTGTTAGGAGGCTCGGTCCTGCCACTCCCCAGACACTGTGCGGATGGAAAGAGGGACGCCTGGAGCTGGGGGACAGCCTGAGACTACAGAGTCCTGAGAGCATGCCAGGTCTGGGGACTCTAGACTGAGTTGGAAGCCCTGGATATTCTCTCTCCTGTGCCAACAAGACCTGAGAGCCCTTGCCAGGCCTCATCCCCCTCTATACCTGGCTGGGTGGTGCTGGGAACTTTTCTGCTTTTCTCCCCTAAGGAGAGGGGAAGGGAGGGGATGGCTAGTGGCTCCTGCATTCCTCTCTATCCTTGCCCACCCAAAAATGGTCACACTCAGGCCCTGAAGCTCCTGTTCTAATCTGACCAATGGATATACAGGCAGCAAGAGTTATGCGAAGAGAGGGTCAAACATCTCCAGCGTGCTGGCAACAGCCATATTGACTGCCTCACAAACACCAAGGGCCCTGCCCCTCCCTCGAGGACTGTGACCACATGGCTATATCCTCTCCTGGTCCTGAAGCTTTAAGCTCAATGTTTGAGAGTCCAGCCTGCCATCCCACAAGTTACACGGCTTAGATCCTCACGTTAAGGGTCACAGGTGCCCTGCTGGTATAGGCCACATACCCGATCCTCCCTCTCCAGTCCTCTATGTCAAGCTCCCAGCCCCATATATGCTGGACTCCAACAAATGAGCACGTGATTTACCAAGCCATCTGGCTCCCCAGCCTTGCCTCGGGTCTCCCACTGATACCTAAGGACCCATCTCACTAATCTACCCCTCAGCAGTCTTGAGGCCCATTCTCCTACCTGCCAAGTAGTTAAGAGTCTCTAGGCTCTGTGTTCATTCATACATGCCTGACTACAAGACCCCACGGCCAGACGACAACTCTCCAAAGCATCCTTCCCCCAGCGGCCACCCCGCTCCTCCTCACGCCTGCTCCCTCTTGTCCCCTTCTCATCCATCTTGCCCAGACTCCAGCCCAGAGCTCTCCCAGGACCTTCATTGATGAGAGGAGTGAACCGTCATTCCACAGAGCTGATGACCGTTCCTCTGGCCTGAACCAGGCAGAAGAGTCAGTTCCTCCTCTGAACACCTAAGATAGTCCAGGAACCACCCTGCCCCTGGGATGACAGTAGGTAAAGGGACCATTGGCACCCAGGCACCGGATCTGCGGCTTCCGGCCAGCCGTGCGCTTTTGTAGTTTCCCCAGTCGCTGGAACCCCAGGGGTCAGTCAATCACCTTGGCTACAGTCCTCCCCCTGGTAGCCAGGAGGACACTGCATCCGACAATCGCCGCTCACAGGGTCGCAGGCCACACCCGGTGGGCAGGAGCAATGGTGTCTGCAGCCTGGCCCAAAGAAGCCTGGCTCACACGCTACAGAGTAAGAAGCAAGACAGAAACGTGAGGTGGAGGTGAGGCTCTCAGTGGCCCAGGACCTCCCTCTCCCTCAGGGACTCACCTTCCTGGCAGCGCTCGCCCCGGAAGCCAGCCTTGCAGGAGCAGCTGCCGTCCTTTGGGTTACAGGACTGTGTGTGTGACTGCTCACAGCGGCAATCCTCAGAACAGCCGGGGCCAAAGGCCCAGGGAGGGCAGGCTGCAGACACAGAGCCATAAGGGGCCTGCCCACTGCAGCGCTCACCCCAGTCAGCCTGGATCACCAAGGGTGGCCCTGGTGGGCCTGCTGTAGCTGAGCCCCCTTCCAGAACATTCTAGGAATGGGCACATCTGCTTGTGAACCAGGGCCTCACAGCTGAGATGCTGTCCCAGTTTCCCCTCTCAATTAACTCTTACAAATGTCAAACGCTGCCTTCACCCTCTCTTTCTCTGCTAATCTGCTGCCCCTTCCCTGAGTGTCTGTGACCCCGGAGACGGGGACTCTGAGGAGCTGGCTTTGTTCCACAAGACAAGATCAGTGTCCTGCAAGTTTCCTGGGAATCTGTCCCTGCTCGCCTCCATCACCAGATGAGAGAGGGGCAGGAGTGACACCAGCCTAGGGACAGAGCACCAGATGCCTAGACTCCATCCACAGCGGCTGCTGCAACGCTCCCAGCACAGTGTGAGACTCAGTACAAGGCGGATGCTCTCATCCACACACACAGATGTGGCAGAACTCACCAAGATGGCAGAAGCGGCCGTAGAGTCCTGGGTCACAGAGGCAGGCCCCATAGAGGCGGTGGCATCGGCCCCGGTTAGCACAGTGGCATTTCTTACGGCAATGTTTGCCATAGAAGCCCTTGGGGCAGCCTGCGGGAGACGGGTTAGTGAGAACTGCACAGCAGCTGGCCTACCCACACGTAGTTCTTAGATGAGGGGACATGAGAAGCCTTGTGTCAGGGGACAGGAGACAGGACAGCCGTGCCCACTGGAACATTCTGGAGATGGAGCAGACTCATCAGCACACCTCTGAGAGGGGCAAAATCTCTCCTAAGTGCCCTGACCTCTGATCCACACAGAATACTGAGCCCAAAGAGAGAGGACTGCAAGGCCTCACCTGGTCAGGGCTACACCCAAGCCTGGCAGGCTGCCCTTCTCCAAATACCGCCCTCTGGCCCTGCCCTGCCTCATGTCCCTCTTATTGAAAGGGACATAGATAACTGAAAATGAAACCCCCAAAGCTGCCATGTCCCAGTCTCCTGGATCTTGAAATAAGACTACCCACATTGCTCACAGACCCCCAAATCCAATGAACAAATGTGCTTAGCTTACAGGTGAGTGGCATTTGAGACAGAGAGAGGAAGGCAGCAGAGAGGTGTGGTCATATAGGGTCACAGGCAGAGACTGGAGGAATAGACACGTAGTGAGGGACACCCAAGGCCTGGGAAACCAACACGAGGGCTCCATGAGATCTCCACTCCTGAAAATCGGCCGGTCTGTCCCCAGAAGCTCCCTTTAGTTTACCTATAGGGGAATCTGGTGGCCCTCCCTGAGACTGCAGGAGAAAAGCTCCTGGGAAGCTGTGTAATGTCACACCCAGGGCTCCCCCAGTCTCCACGTGTTGGCAGCAGAGAGTAAGAGAGGGACAACAGAGACACTAAGCAAGGTTGGGGAGAAGCCATGAGCACTGGGGCTGCTGGAGCGCCCTGTTGTCACCCTTGGGGCTGGGTTCTGTCAACCGTGTCCTCCCGCTCTAGCAGGAGCAGTTACAGCGGCAGGAAACACGAGAGACCCAGAGACAAAGCCGTCCCCTCTCCCAGAAGCTTATTCCCACAAACTGTAATTCCCCACAGTGCTGTGAGTATGGCTAGACAGGATGTCAAGCATCACCCCAGGGAGCCACCAGCACAGACGGACGCCTTCTACAAATCCCAGCTGGCCATCATCTCCAGCTCTGCTTGAATGCTCCCAGGTCCCAAGGGCTCACCACTTCCCCAGGGAATCCATTCCAAGCAAGTCTCCACCCATGGAATTGAGTCTCAACCTTCTGTGTGTAAGTCCCAGGAAGTAAGAAGGATAAGAAACAGCATGGCTTCCCCTTCCCCTAGAGTTCCCTAGGGAAGGGCTACACGCACCATCCTCACAGTGGGCTCCACTGACACCCGGGGGACAGCGGCAGGCTCCTGACACAGGGTCACAGGTCCCACCATTCTGACAGGTGCAGAGAGAGCTACAGTTCTTCCCGAAGGTGTCTGGAGGACAAGCTGCAGGGGGATGACAGGAAGCACCAGGATTACCAACCAGAGGGCAGAACTCTTGAGGTCCTTCTGGCATTAAAGACACCAGTTTTAAACAAATGCCTGGGACAGCAAATGACAATTTGTGCCTCATGACCCCGACCACACTCATGGCAGACATCTCTAATCAACACATGCACACGCTAGCCCTTTCAATCAGATGGCAATTCAGATGATCCTCACAGTCTGAGATGAGTCTAATTCCCTCCTGGTCAGGAGGGCTTTGGGAGAGATAAGGAAGGCTGTAGACAGATCCATTTCCAGGGTGCTTCAGCGGCTAAACTGTTGTGTAGCCCTGAGCAAGGCTCTGCTCTTATCAGATGGTTTCAGTCCCCGCTACCTGTATCAGAGAAGCCTACCCACTAGCTCTCCTTCACAGACACAAACAATACTCTTAGATATTTGTTGGCTTGTCATTGGGATCCCTAGAGACTGGCTGGGAGCATCACACACCCTGTCTGCTGGTTCCCAGAGTGCCCCACATCCTAGTACCATGTCTAGGATGGGGGGAGGGGGGAGGGAGGCAGTCAGTAGACTCTCATCAAAGGGAGATAAGATGAAAAATGGATGGGAGGGAGGGAAGAAGGGAGGGAGAGAGAGAGGGAGGGAGAGAGGGAGGGAGGGAAGGGAGGGAGGGAGGGAAGAAGGGAGGGATAGGTGCATGGATATGTGGATAGATGGGTGGATGGGTAGGTGAGTAGATGAGTGGGTGGATAGATGGGTGTGGAGTGGATGGGTAGATGGGTGGGTGGAGAGATGGGTGTGGAGTGGATGGGTAGATGGGTGGGTTGGTACATGGATGGACAGATGGGTGGGTGGACATACTCAGATGCTTCTCCCCAGAGCTAGGCAGGAGGAACCACACAGAAAGGATGCTCACAACTCTTGGGTCCCACAGACTCTGCCTAGACTCCCCCTTCCCAGTGTCTCACTCTCATTGCAGATGATCCCTGTCCAGCCCTCTGGGCAGTCACAGCCACCCAGTCCCGGAAAGCAGGTCCCTCCATTTTTGCAGTCATCGCAGGTCAGGCTGCAGTCATGGCCAAAGGAGTGGTCCAGGCAGACTGCGGGAAGATGGGGAGAAGGACATCAGAGCTCTTGGGCCAAAGAAGAGAGGACAAGTGGCTTCCTCATCTCCAAGCTCCAAGGTGAGATACGGGAACCCCACCCTAGGAGCTGGGGGCCAATTTAGCCCTGAATGAGCTGTACGGGTTATAAGGGGCGTACCCTCCCATAGGGCAGCGCAGCCCAGGACTGCAAGCTGCCATCCCCTAAGGAGGGAAGCCACGAGGGCAGGCCCATGCCTCACCAAACTTCTCAGTGAGCGTGTGTTCTCCCCGCAACTCCGCTGCCTCCTCCTCGGCCCCATAGTCGTCCTGGAAGAGTTGTGGCAGCTCATCTCTCAGCACCGCGATGTGGGGCAGGGGCCGCACGAAGGGCAGCTGGCCATCCAGGTCTACCACGGACTCCTCTAGGGCTGGGGAAAGACACACAGGCCTCTCAGTCTTTCCTGCCCACACACTCAACAACACTGCCTTAGGGCTCAGCTCTTCCCTCACCTGGTCAGCACAGAAACTGGACACTTAAGACTCCCTGCAACACTGTGCCCTCATCCGACCAACCTGCTTCCCTCTGCCTGCTAACCCCACCCCTACCACAGGAGATGGGACCATACGGGGCTCGCAGAGATGATGACAAGCCAGCTGGCACACCAGACATGCGGGCTACTGGGATCAGAAACCCAAAAGGCAGCTGTGCCTGGGGGAAGCTCACGGGTGCAGCCTCTGCGGTCTTCGTCCAGCCGGTAACCAGCCTCACAGAAGCACTGGAAGGAGCCAGCCAGATTAGCACAGTGATGCTCACAGCTGCTATGACCAGAGGCACACTCGTCAACATCTGCAGACAGACAGACAGACAGACAGCGCTGCTGGGGTGGTGCTCCCAGGGTCGGAAGCCCAGAGACCCATGCCTGTCCCAGCTGTACCTCACGGACAGGGTCAAGCGCTCATCCCCCTGAGCGGCCGGTAGCACTACCACCCCCACCCCAGCCATGGTCTTTCCACTCAAGAGTGAAGGGACACTGGACATCTGTCAGGAGAGTCACTTAAAGAACAGGCATGTCCCCAACCCTGTGAGGAAAGCCAGAGACTACTGGCCAGAGTGCAGTGCGGAGGGGGCACAATGGTGTGTGCGCCTGATTAACATGCACCTGATTGCATACAAGTGCATGCTTCTGTCTGTGTGTGAGACTGGCTAGCTACATGGATGACTTATGTGTGGCATGTAAGAAATCATATAGAAGTTTGCATGTGGTCAGCGTGGGCGGTACGGGTGTGCGTGAGTTCACAGCAGGCAGGTAATCAATGTCCGCAAGTGGAGCAGGAAGCTGGCCCATAGCATGTCCACCTCAGGAGGGCCAAGGCCGACCCCGGTATTTCTCCCCCAGTCACCCAGCTGCTCCCGGGCAGCGTGTGCTCACCCTCACACGCACAGCCATCAGGACTGAGCCGGTAGCCAGCGTAGCAGTTGCACTCGTACCCACCAGGGGTGTTGGCACACACCTGCTGGCAGCATGGGGAGTTGGCACAGTCGTCGATGTCTGCGGGGTACACACAGGAGCCTGCTGGCACCGTGGATACACATACACGATCCCACAGCAACAACCCACGCACATCCCGCAAACATGCTGATACACCACCTTATGTGACCACATGTGAACCTGTCCACAACCACTTGCATACTTCATGTAATCATGCATACATAGAGCCACACACACCTGGAAGGAATCACACACATCTGCAGTTACTCATTCCTGCCCAAACTCACATAGCTATATCCAATATGCAGATATGTACACCTACAACCACACACATAAGGTTACGTGGACATGATCTCTCTCTCTCTCTCTCTCTCTCTCTCTCTCTCTCTCTCTCTCTCTCTCTCACACACACACACACACACACACACACACACACACACGGCAGGCACATGCACAGCCAATGGCCTTAAGGGTGCGGGCAGGCAGAGCCCAGCAGGCCAACACGAGCACTCAGAAGCCTTTGAGCTGATGAGACTCTCATCAGATCTCCTGCAGCTCCTGCTGAGCCCAGGCAGTCAGAGCAGCAGAGAGAGAAGAAAATTCCAAGTCATGGCCCCAAACAAGCCCAGGACTGGGTGTAGCAGAGTCCTGGGGCTGGAGGGGCTGGGCACCCTGGGAGGAACTGGCTCGCACCAATGCAGGTCTTCTGGTCTTCATCCAACTCGTAACCGTGAGGGCAGGTGCACAGGGGTCCCGTGCTAGTGTGACTGCAGCCATGTGAGCAGCCACCATTGCCAGCCTCACAGCTGTTCACAATCTCCATCTCGATCCCTGTGGTGACATCAGACAGCTAGGATGTGGGACAAGGTCCAGCACTCCCTAGCCAGCCCCTGGGAACCCACAACCAGAGCTGCCCACAGAAACTAACTTTAGGGTCTTGGGGAGCCACGTTAGCACCCCGAGCAACCCCAGTCCACCGCTCACTGCCAACTCACGGTAGCACTGCCGGCCATCGGCACCCAGCTCGTAGCCTGCGTGGCACACACACTTAAAGGATCCCTGGGTGTTGAGGCAGCCGTGAGCACACTGGGCCAGCCCCGTGGCACATTCGTCCACGTCTGAAAGAGAGAGAGAGAAAGGGCAGGGAGAGGCTCCCAACAGCGGGGAAAGTGGTGGTGGCCCCGTATCCCTGGGCTCATTAACAGCTTCCTGGCTTAGACAGCTTAGTGGAGATCATGCTGGCCCATACCTGCCATGCACACCCTGACAGATCCCTGGGGAAGGAGACAGATTGGGTCTCATGTTGAGCCCAGAGGGGGTCTTTTCTGTTGCACCAGTAAGGACTTCCTAGTGCATATCGGGATGTAGTTATCGACTTCCCCTGTCCTGTGGGTACCTGGCCACCAGACATGACATCTCAGAAGGCTAACCACTGCCTCCTTGATGGCCCTAGGAGCACCACACTCACCCTGAAGTCGCTGGGCAGAGGCTGCCCACCTCAGACCTACCTATCTACAGAGACGTCAGGACACACTGCTAGGGATGTAGTAGAGCACAAACGTGGCCTCGCTGTATGACAGCGCCCAGCAGGATGAAGGGAGGGGCTCTGGAAACTAGTGCCCAACTGTAGCGCTACCGTCAATGCATTTACCACCACTTGCCCCGAGAAAGCCCAGCACTGATTCACTGGGACACTTCCGGGGTTTATCAGGGATCCCTTTCCTTCCCCTTGCTTGCTCTCTTGGGTCCTAAGGATCAGGTGCTAGTTGATCCCTACAGGAAGTATGTTGAAGACAGAAACTTGAGTTTCCTCCCATCTGCAGAAACATGGCTGGGTTGTAGACAGCTCTTTGGGTCATCCCATTCCCCCCACCCCAATCAGGGAGAGACGATTATCACCCCTAGGTCACCCAAAGACCCATCCAGCAGGGCGCCTCAGGGATGTTGGGGATTGGTAAAGCATCCTACCTTCACAGGCCTTGCGGTCTGCAGCAAGCTGGTAACCTGTGTGACAGCCACAGTGGGCAAGGCCCCGGAGTGCCTGGCATACGTGCATACAGCCACCATGGCCATCCTCACACGGGTTTCTCCCTGCATAGCAAAGCCAGAGGGATGCAGGCAAAGAGAAAAGATGGGGGGGTGGACTCTGACAGATGCAGGATTCCTCCTCAGCGCGGGAATCCCACTCTGCTCCAGCCTCTGCCATGGCCCCCCAGTTGTGGGTAGCTCTGGGTTCCCCCAAGAAGACCTCATAGTCAAGGCCAGAATCCCAAGGCTCTATTAGGGTCAATACCCGACCAGTACCCATGACTTGCGAGTGTCATGGTTCTCAAAGAATGTGTCCAATGGCAGAAAGCTAGGCCTGGCTAGAAGAGAACCTTCCAGCAAGGAGGTGGCCAGCCCAGGTCAGCTCTGGCCATGATGAGCCTTGTCTGCTTCTCCCAGAGTTCATGCTTTGGGATAAGGTGTTGGAACTGACACCAGGGTTAGGAGCCCCAAACCCTTCTCCCCAGTCCTCTGATCCAAGGACACCACATGATCATCCAACCCTAACATCCTCCAGGGCCTTGTGGCCTTGTGTTCTTCTTCAGCCCTGTGGTTCCCTCAGCCCCACGACTCCCATTCTGTGAGCCCCTCTATCCCATGACCTTTCCAGCCCTGTGACCCCTCAAGGTCTATGACCCCCAAGCTCCATAAACACCCCTAGCTCTGTAACCTGTTCAGCCCTGTGTCCCCCCCCCCCAGCCCTGAAATCCCACGCCTTTTCCACCCGCATGGTTGGCCTCACATCTACACTCACTTCCTACTCTGCCGGGGAGTCCCTGCACCTGCTCTGTCCCATTTCCATGTCTGGGGGAGGGGCTCTGACCCTGCCCCACATACTCCTTTAGCAAAGTCTCTTTCTCCTATGCACGCAGCCCAAAGTCCTCCACACTGACCTGGCTGCCTCCTCTGCCCAGACCCCAGATGGCCATCTAGGAAGAGGGGTACTGTCTCCACCCTGAACATCCTGCCCTGAGGACATACCACCCAATAGTGCTCACATCCCTGTGCCTCAGGCCCACAGCAGCCCGGGCCTCCCTCCCTCCCACCACCCGGTTATTACACATCAGGCTCATTCCTGGAGCCTGGACCCCACTCTCTCCAACTCCGCCATACTTACGGACACAGCGCCGGCCATCCTCCTGCAGCTGGTACTGGGGCCGGCACTGGCAGCGGTGCTGCGTCACTGTGAGCTGGACACACTGATGCTGGCAGCCACCGTTTCCCAGAGTGCAAGAGCTGATGGCTGGGGACACAAAGAGCTTCGATCAGGCCAAGCAGGCAGATCCTTCTTCTCGCGTGAGCGATCTGATTAGGATGGCTTCCCACAGGAGCGCTCACTACCCTTCTCTCCCTTGTTCTCAGTTTCCAGCCTGACTCTACTTTCTTCTCAGTCACATACACGGTCCACAGTACAACGGACATCTCTCTGAATCCTTCAAGCCCAGCCCACCCAGGAGGTGGATACTAGGTAGATCCGTCCGCCCTGACAGAAGCCTGGCATCCCTGCTCCACACCGCCCCTCCCCCCCGCACCAACACAAGAGAAGCAACACTAGGAGGCTGTTGAGAAGCAGCTGGCTCATTGCCTGGCAACAAGCTAGGAGTCACGGCAAGATCCACCGCACCACCGTGGACCTCAGGCCAAGGCAGAAGGTCAGGTACGGAGCCTCTATGAATGGCCGCCTTAGACCACAGACCTGGCCACCGGTACCTGAAGGAAATCTGAGCAAATTCCTTCTACCCCAGGCCAGACCACACCTCACACCCTATCAGAGTGTCCACTCTTCCCAGCAGCCATAGGTCCTCAGGGAGACTGTGTCCCAGAGGGCAGCACCCTGTCCTTTCTGGTTGGACTGCTGCAGGGCATGGAAAAGGGATAATGGCTGGCCTGGTGGGGGCTGTGCACTCTGTGGAGCTCCGTCGTACCCTCAGCTGGCCTGTGGAGATGGCAAGGCACGTGGGATGGACACTGAGCTTCCAACAGCAATAGCGGCCAGCTCCTGGCATGGGTTTGGTTACAATTGAGTCCCTGGCAATGGCATTGTGGTTAAAGGAAGTTAGCCCTGAGCTCTGGAGGGAAGCCGCAAGAATGCTGCCCCTGGCCGGGGAGGTAAGACTGTCTGCTTGCAAGCCTGTGCTCGGAGCTGTGTCAGCAAACCTTAAGACTCATTACTAAAGCACTTTGGGGGCTGGGCTGTACCCTGAGATGCTGCCTGGGATGTGGGGACACCGTCAACGTTAAGCAGTACTGTTCGCGGCCCAGTATGGAGAAATGGTTCATTACTGCCGAGGAATGGGGGCTTGGCACCACTGAGGAGGGCACCGCAAGCCCCCGGTGCTGGCAGCGGCATGGGTCTCGTGAGCTGCCTCAGGGCTCTGAGAAGGCTGGGCTTCCTTCAAAGCAAGCTTGCTCATTAAACTGGTCTCTCCTCACGTGAAGCACAGTCAGAAGAACATGTGGATGCCCCCTTCTCTGGGGCAAAGCCAGCCATGGAGAGGCAGTGACCAATCTCCTGGCCACCCAGGGCCCCCAGACATATGCATCAAGGGAGGAGCTACAGAAATTTCCTACAGAACGGAGGTGAGCCTGCCAACCGAAGGCCTTCCCCAACTCTGCTCTGACCCCTACACTGGATGGAAGCCATGCTGACCCCAGGCCTGGCTGGCCTCACCTGAGTCAGCTGTCCAGCCACCAGTCCTGCCTCCAGAGGCGCCCAGGCGCCTGTGCACATGGCCTCAGCTGGCCCCGCATTCCTAGGGGCTCTGTTTACCCCGTTCTCACCACACCAACTGCATCGCTCCTCGGGACACGTAATCGGAACCAGAAGCTTGTTCTGGCAGGGCCGGCAGGCACAGAGGGGCACCACGTCTCAGTATCCCTGTAGGATGCACCATCAACCAGGAGAAAGAGGTGTTTCGCCTCCAATCTGGTCACCGGCAAAGCAGCTGAGATGGCCCCATGGATGAACCCACTGTGGGCTGGCATTTCAGACCTGGAATTCCAGGACCTCTTCACACCCTCAGAACCATCCCTGCCCTTTGCTCCACAGAACTGTGACTTCACAGATGCTCCCAAGCTGTGCACAGCAGGGAACCAGGCCAGCATCACCCAGCACACTCTGTGGGTTCCCAGAAAGTTAAACCAGACAGATTTTCTTTTCTCGGTGCCGGGGCTGCACAGCTCTGGGAATAGCCAGGGTCTGTGTGTCTGGGACTCGGGACTGGTGGACTTCTCCAGGCCCCTCGAGTTACTGAGGTCCAGCTGTAGGACATTCACTCTGGAGACCTCTGCCCAGCGCCAAGGCCAGAGGCTCACATCTGGTTATGGTTCTAGAAATCAGGCCCAAGGTCAGACATAAGCAAAGCTGAGTGACCTTTGGAGCAGAGGTCAGGGACCGGCCTCCCTGCAGGTAGTACATACTCATCAGGAATAGCCTCAGCAGGGGAGGGAGGGGGTGACACACTTGAAATCATAGAACTGAAGGAGTGGGAACATCAGGCCAGCCTTGGCAGCAGGGCTGGATAGGTCTGTCTCCACAACAGACATTTGTACCTATGGGGTACCATTTTCCCCTTCACCCCACACTCAGCAGGGCTCTGTGATCTGCGTACAATCCTGCAGGACCATCCTACAATTCCCAAGGTCTCCCTTAGGTCCCTGCCCACTTCCAGATCAGATTCAGTGACTGTAGCTGGGTGACGCTCTATATCAGAGCCTTAACATCTATGTGTCCCTGCACCCCTCCCACAACACACAGGTCGAAGCCCTCAGATATGACAATGTTCGTTCTTTATGCCTTAATTAAGGTCAGAAGTGGCCACACAGACGGGGCTCTGGTCTCATCCGGGACCAGAAAGGCTGGCACCTTGCTCCTGGACCTGCGACTATGTGAAAAATAAAACCCTGTTGAATTCCGACAGAGCTGGGCTGTAACTCCAACTCCACTCACAACCAGCAGGACTCGCACTGCTCAGGGTGGGACAGTGAGGTGCCATGCTTGGAGGAAGGAATGGGCTTTGAGGAGGAAGAACCTGGACCTCATTAAAAAAAAAATACATTTCCTACAAGACTTTGTGCGAACATGTACAACATTCTTGGATGTATGACACCCCAACAAAGGGTGCTAGCCCAGTCTTAGGAGCCAGCACCTGCACTACAGAACAAACTCGGGTCTTGAGCCACGGCCTCGGAGCCTCGCATCAGGAGCATGAGTGCCACGCAGTGGGCAGCACGTGGGGTGGAGGGACGAGACGGGCACAGTCCTGGGGTGGCTCTAGACTCCAGCCTCCAGCCCATAATCTCACCACTACAGACCATCCAAGAACCAATCAGCCAAGTCGAGCCCATCGGCTGTTTTAATGCAGCCCTCGGACCAGACTGGTGGTTTGAGGCCAGCTGGAGGGTGGTGTCACAAGGTGATTGTCATTGTCCTTAAACTGGTGTGGCTTCTGGGTGCTGAGAGCTCCCACCGTGTATGGTCAGTGGCCAGAGAGGTCTGTCCTAGGAAGCTCTTTGACAAGGCAGGGACAGACAGCAGCCCAGAGGGGATTCATATACATATATACATATATATATACATACATATGTACATAAGGCAACCTCTAGGCCCCCAGCTCACATCTTGCTCACACCACACCCACAATGCTGGGCAGTTTTCTACTGCCAAGCCTTAGCTCCCAGCTGTGTCCTCAAGAGTGCCACAAGAACTGCCCAGCTTCCGTCCTTGAAAGCATTTGCTCAAAAGTCTGGTGGGTTACTTAGAAGGCAGGTATGTCCTGTAAGCAGGACCTGCTCCATCACAAAACCAGCATGGGCCTTGGTGACACCACAGCTGACCAAGGGCAGCAGCACTGGGCCCCTCCCATCATTCCTCTCCCCATGTCAAGCCAGCACGCCTTCATTCACCAGCTCTGTCCCCTGTGGCACGCCATCTCCCTGCATGCCCAGTGTGACAGCCTAACCGTCCCTGCTGGGTTCTGTACCCAGCTCATGGTTTGTGCCCTCTTCCCTGGCGGTTCAGGACTGGGATGAGACACCAGCATGGGTCACTGAACCTTGGTATCCCTGTTCCAGCTCAGCCTGCTCCCCCAAGGCAAGTGGAAGCAGTCCCGCCCTGTAAGGAATCCGGGACGGGGACCGTGAGACGGGAAGGGACCACAGCAGCCGCTCTCGTCCCACCCCTCCCCTCTGTCTCTACTCAGGCCAGGCTTCCTCGGGCTTCTCAAGGCTGGGAAGCTGACCCCTTGTGCAACTGTAACCCCTGCCAGGTTTGGGAAGGGCTGGGAAACATGGGCAGAGCTGCATCTGCGGCTCCACGGGGATGAGTTTTGCAGGAGAGCCTGGCAGTCTGCACACTTGAGCTGCCTGTGGTTTTGGCCCCAGAACCAGGTTGCTGCCAGCAGCAGCCTCCTTTTCCTAATAGCCTTCCTTAAGGCTTCTCGTCAGGAAGGAGTCTTGGGGGCAGACGGGGGCTTGTAAAGCCCTTTACTGTCCCGATGTCTGGGATGAGCATGCTCTGCCAAGGCCAGATACACACAGACAGGGACAGCCAAGGGCAGGGCTGGGCAGCCTTCCTCCAGTCATGTGCACATAGCACCCATGTGACTCTGGTGGTGGGGCCACCACAGGTGTGTGTGTTGGCAGCAGGACCCTCCCCAAGGGTGTCTATCCTGAGCCCACAGGTATGAGATGAAGAGAAGTAAGATCACCTGTGCCACGGGACTAACCCAGTAACAACCACGGCCCCCCTCAAACTGACCCCATTTGACCTTCAACCCAGAGGACACCAGGAAACAGTCCTATACAAGGTCGGTGTCCAGGTCACACTAAAAGCCACTGGACAGGAATATGCTACTCAGAGCACCAAAGCCACAGGGAGGAGGGCTCCCCTTGTGGTGTTATGACAGCCTGGGGCTATTCCATTTCACAGCTCTGCAAAATGTCACGGAAAAGTAGGAATGACACTCCTGGACCCTTAGCCAAACCACTACCCCAGGCAGGCCCTACTTTCCACGGCTGGGGAAAGGAGGAACTGGCTCTGACCCAAGCACAGAAAGCTAGAACAGCCTTGGGTCTGGCTGTCTCCCCCAGACACCCCATCCCCACCCCATAAACGAGCACCCCAGGACAGTGCACCCCAAGCCATAGGTGGGGCCCTTTTGTTCCTGTTGGAGTGACAGCCAGGACAGGGGACAATGTCCTTACTATAGTGGGTTGATGGCAAAGTCCTTAAAATACTCGTTTTTTAAGAGCAGGGGGAGGCTCAGTGGTTGAAAGTACCGGCTGCTCTTGCAGAGGACCTGGATTTGGTTCCCAGCATCCACATGGCAGCACACAACCATCTCATAACTCCAGGCCCAGGGGATCCAACCCCCTCTTCTGGCCTTGACAGGTACCAGGCACATGCATATGTGTGTGTGTACATNATATATACACACACACACACACACATATATATATGCAAACAAATACTCATACACAATAAAATAAAAAGAAAATGGAGACAGAAATCTGTGTTTTATTACTATGCTTAGACCATTTGGAGCACCATATGGTGGCACTAGGGAGGTGGAGGCTAGAGGAACAGAAGTTCAAGGCCAGCTCTGGCTACATAGTTCAAGCCAGCCTCAACTACATGAGACCTCGGGGGTGAGGGGGAGGAGAGAAAGAGAGGGAGAAAAAATGTCAGTGCCAGAACTTATACATTCCCTATCTTGGTCTGCCTGGCCTTGCAGGTGAGTATGCGACCTGTGTTGGGTCCTCCACAGGGTCCAGGACAAATATCACCACCCTGACTCCCTCAGGCAACCTTCCCAGCCACAACCAGTTACCTCCATCTTGGGTCAGCATCTCAGGTCAATCAGCCAAGGCGGTTCCCTCAGCAACCTCAGCCTCAGGCATGGCATAGGGTATGGGTATAGCACCCAGGAACTCCTGAAGGGAGCTCACAGAAAGTCCTGCAATTACTCTGGAGCCTTCTCAGGCCCCCACAGGGAAGGCAGCATCTGGTGGACCCAGCCTGACAAACCCAGGCTCATCATAGAAGTTCCCTAGGAGATCTAGACACAGAAGGAAAAATCTAACACCCACAGCCAGATGGGTGGAACACAGAGACCACTGAGGATGGAGGATGAGTAGGGACCACATCTTCAGGGGGTGCCGGGAAATGGGTCACAGACATAGTGTAAGAATGGAGATAATGCTCGGGGGTCCCCAGAACGCCATCAGACACTTAGAGGGAAATCAGGGTGTCCTGTCCCTAAGGCAGAGTTCATCAGAGAAGGGAAGCCACCACGCCTGGAGGAGCCAGTGTGGAGAGTTTGTAGTAGTGTCCCTTAACAGAGATACAGGCCATTGTTCTACTGTCCCCAGACACAGCACAGCAGGAGGCTGTGATCTCAGGAAGCCTCAGTGTAAAACCCTTGTTGAAAGTTACAGTAAAATGAGAGAGAGAGAGAGGCCATCTGAGGCCAGTGCTCCACACCCGACCCATGTCCCGCAAGCCAAGTGTCAGGCAGGAAGGGTCAGAAGACCTGAGAACCACCCACACAGTGTTACGGGGTGAGCGGGGAGCAGGGGCAATGCAGACCGTCCACAATGCACATGCCATGAGTCCCTCCTTCTGAGGCCCCACGGGCATAGAATCTAGCATGTCTGTCTCCAGCATAGCAATGGGTGGTGTAGACCCAGGACCAGGGCAGGGCAAAGGGCTATCCCTCCTGGGCTTCCTGAAGCCAGCAGCTCAAGCCTCCTTCCTCTGGGCAGTACCACCACCCGGTCACTCTGGGTCTAAGAGGCATCTCTGCTCTCTGACTGTTAGTGACGCATTCCCGTCCTGTCTTGGTCCTCTGTCCCCTCAGGGCACTTCAGTGAGGGCGACTGTCAATGGAGACAGTGAGAAGACACAGGGGGAATGAGTGTCCTTGTCCTGGAGCCGGCAGCAGGGGTCACCCTTCTTTAAGGAGCATCCTGCCTGACAAGGGTGCCTCAGGCTCCCAGAAGGGCCAGCAGCAGGCAGTCGCTGGGCTCCACTATCACAGCTACCCTGAAACACAGGCAGTCGCTGGGCTCCACTATCACAGCTACCCTGAAACACATAGCAGCATTCCTGCATCTGCTTCTACTTCTCACTCGGGCAGCTGCCTGGCTCCTGCAGCGGAGCAGCGGACAGAGGCTGGGACATGTGTGTATGGGGTGCAACCCCCCAGGGCTGGCACATTGCCAGCCCTATAGCAGCCAAGACCAAGCGCTCAGAACTGGCCTAAGCTGTCTGGATCTCCAAAGTAGGAAGTAGGGGTGCCTCCCCCCAAGAACACCATAGAAAAAGAGGGAGGGGTGGACCGAGTACCCAGGGCGCACTATGAAGTGGACGACTGCGAGCTGGTCTTACAGTTTCCTCCGCCTGGCTCTGGATGTCTCTTTAGCTCTAAGCTGCCAGAGGCCCTGTGTTCTCAGGAGGCCAGTAAACCCTTCCCTCACAGCAGAAATCCTACAGATAGCCGGGGGCCAGGAGCCTGTTCTCTGGTTGCCCCTCACCGCTGTGGCAGCTCAGGCTTCCAAAGAAGCCCTCTTCTGTAGACCAAAAAATGCTTTCTGTTGTCAGGGCCAAGGCTCAGCCTGCCTCCCTACCACGCAGACGCAACCCCAGGAGACCCCTGCCCCTTGTCTTGGTGGCAGCTTAGCCAGGCCTGGGTCCCTGTTGATTGATCAACCCCTGCAGATGGTCTCAATCTCAGCAAGACTTAGCATAGCCGCAGAGCTGACACAGGCTGGGGACGCAGGGAGCTGGGGGAGCTTTACCCCCCTGCAGGGTGTGCTCAGGACTCCCAGACACTCATGCTCCACAGGAAGGAACTTCTGAGTGCATAGTCTAACGCCAGCCCACTCAGGCCTCCCTTGGCCCCTCCTTCCCAGACCTGAGGTTGTTCTGAAGAATGAGGCTCAGAGCCCCAGGCAGGTGACACTTACCTAGGCAGGTCCTGCCATCTGTGTGGAGCCGGAAGCCAGGCTTGCACTCACAGAGGTAAGAGCCAGGGGTATTCACACACCTATGCTGGCAGCCGCCGTTGCGTGCACGACACTCATCCACATCTAGGGAGAGAGAGTGGAATTACCAGCTAGGCACACACCAGCCCATTGTGGTGAACAGATGAAGCATGAACCCCAGATCTTGTCAGATCACATCCATTTCCCTCACAGCCCCAGACAGAGGCGGTGCCCATTTACCATGGCTGGCATGCCCTGGGGGGGGGGGGAAGAGCTACCAAAGGAAACCTCAGCATGGGCCACTGTCTTTTTCATATCTGCTGTACACAACCCCAAGGGTAGGACCAGCCCAGGGGTCCAGAAGGAGAGAATGTGGGCTCCTGAGGGGGGCTGCAGGGTGAGGGATGGACAGTGGTACCCCTCTCTCTGTTTACACAGCAGCCCCCTTTCTGTTTCTCAGTGCTTCCTAAGACCTGTCTGCTGGGAGTGTGGCCCTCATTCCGTGATGCCCCTTCTGGAATCTGTATGGTAAGCACCACCAGGTAGCTCTGGACAACAAGGGGGATGTGGTGAAGAGCCAACTGGAGGCAGAGGGTGTCCTGCTCTGTGTTGCCTGTCTCAAGAGGCAGGAAACAAGGCCATGAGCCCCCACTTCTCTTCCACAAAGCCACTGTCACGTGAGCCCTCGGCTCGGAAACAAAGGCCCGACGGCGCTGGCCAAGGCCCTAAAGACTCTGAGAGACTGAAGAGCCAGGGCGCGATGAGGGTTTCAGGGACCCTGCTAGAGGAGTTGGAGTGACAACATCTATCTCGGGGTCCAGAGAGGAGTTAGTTCCTGAGCTTAAATCGCTGGGAGGTCACAGAGGCACACACAGCTTAACTGAGGTACATGCAGGGGTCCTCAGAGACAGCCGGTCTATGAAATCCTATCTGGACAGTCTGGGTGTTCCTGGGCACCACTGCTGACCCCCAACACTGTGGGCAAGGCAAACAGGCTGAAAGAGTTAAAGGATTCTGAGCCACTCAGCACCCCAGCGAGGGGTTCTCAATCCTCCCAGGTCAGTCTGCACATGGCTGCATGCTCCTCGGAAGCCGGGGAGGGAGCCCTGCTGACCACAAAGACTCTCAAGCTGTGAAGGGCCTCCAGGCACAAGACGGCTGTTGCTCAACAGGACTCCTCTGCTAACTCTCCGTACACTGGTGTGGACATGGGTCTCCCTGATCACACATACCTGCCACTTCTCCACAGTCCTTTGAGACAGGGACAGACGCTCTAGCCTCCCTCTGTGTGCAACCAGTTCCTTACAAGGGTCCCAGATCACTCCTGTGACATCTGCCAGTCAGAGATAGGGCTTTTATCACTGTCCCAGGTGCCTCTAGGAGGGCCTGGTGTAATGACTCCAGCTTCAACCCTTCCTACCTTTACGGTGTTTCCTGGAGACACCTATTGTGCGAGTTTATAACAGAGCCTGGGCTGGAGCTCTGCGGCTCCACCATGGCCCTCGGCACCACCAACCCTCAGCTCCGCCACCCTCAAGAGCCAGCGTCTGGACACGGCAGGTCCATCCCAGGCTGAAGGGTTTACCCTTAACACAGCCCTGCAGCCCCGACAACCAGGCCTCTTCTGACGCAAGACGAACGCCTTTTACAGAAATAACCCACATTCTGAAAGCAGGGCAGGACCCTGTGGCCTAAGTCCTGTTTGCCTCATCAAAAAGTGGGCCACACAGAGCTGTTCACAAACAGCTTGGAGGACCTGTGAGGTGCTGAGCCTAGGAGTAGAGCTTTGGCTATGACCTGAGGAGCCTCAGGCTCAGCAGTGCTTACCGTCAGCATGGCTAGGTAGGTAGTGTCCCTAAAGACATCAGGTCCTCATCCCCATGACACTACTCAGAAAATGAAAACTGAGGACAGGACTGCTTTAAGGTCAGTGTCATGGGATGGGGCTTGGGTTAGGTTGACAAACACGAGGCCACCACAGCCTTGGGGGGGCATGGGGGGGGGGGGGGGGGGGGGGGGGGGGGGGGGGGTCAGGGAGAGCAAGCTGGGGCGGGGGAGGGGAAGGGTTAGGCATATCACTTCAGCACTGTGAGTCCAGGCCTCTGTGCACTGGGAGACAGAAAACACGGGTTCTCCCAGGTTAGCTGTACGCTTACATCTCAGATCCAGCCTTCTGGGGCTCCCATCTCCACCATCAGGTAATTAGTCTGCTTTTATTGCTACTGTTTGAGATAGGGTCTCATATAGCCAAGGCTAACCTCAAACTCACTATGTAGCCAAGGATAGTCCTGAATTTCTAATACCCTGCCTGCTGAGTGCTGGGATTACAGACAATTATGCCTCTATATATAGTTTTTAATGCAGTGCTGGGAAGGGAAGCCATGGCTTTGTGCATATCAGGCAAACACTCTCCCAACTGGGTGACACCTCCCCGGCCTGTGTCTGCTTTAGGGCACCTAGTAGAGACTAATCTGCAAGAGTGGCCATGAGGGAAAAAAAATGCAGAGTACAGGCATCTGTTGTGTGACTCTGGCCACGAGCTGACAGTTCCTACCCTGGCCTCCTGACCTAGCAGTACCTGCTGGGGTCGTCTGCACGCCAGGCTCACAAGCGCTATCTGTGCCCAGGCACGCTTACAGGCCAGGTTCCCGGGAATTTCTCCTCCTACAGGCCCATGTCCCAGAACTGTGCTATGCCTCCCACACAGAGACAGCACAGCTGTGGTCACACCGAGCCTGCAGCGGGGCTATCCGGAGATGTTTGGAAGAGTCGAACCCCCAAAGCAAAGAGCAGGATAGCTGGGGTGCATCTGTAGCACAGATACTTCCCTGCTGACCCGGTGAGAACAAGTCAGAGCAGAGCGTGTACCCCAACTCGAGAGTTGGATGGAACCTGCTCATTCAAGGGGCTATGTCTGGTAACAGGCAAACCCACTGCATACTGAATCCCCAAGAGTACCAGGGAAGGGCCATCCAGCAGGGGGAACTGGAAAAGTCATTTTAAATCATTCTGCCCCCATGGGCTGTGGCCAGTGACTGGGAACTTGGCGCTCATGACAGGACCAGCAGCACATGGTGACATCGCTGTGCCAACCTGGGCCAGTCCCCCTGGGCGCTGGGTAAGCCTCTAAGTACCTGCTAAGCCGAAGCTGGTGGTGCTGCCGGGAGACACAAAGAATGCCATCAGAAGGACGAGGGGCACCAATCCTTTACCCACCCCCACCGGTTCCTGGCCCAACAACACACAGCAGTCAAGGCCAGCCAGTCGCCAAACGTTGCCTCTGTGGAAAGCACTTCAGGTTTTCTCAAGCTTCACCGCGGCTTCCAGGAAACACCTCTGGGACCTTGCCACTCTGCCAGGCACCAGGACACCAGGTCCTCACTCTGAAAACCAGAATCCACTGGCTTTTCTTCTCCCTCTGCCCCCGGGAAAGCCTCAGTGCAGGCACTGGGGCTCCAAGTTCTCCAAAGCCTGGTGGTGCCCAAGTGAGACCCTTTTGATGCTACACAGGCTCCCAAGTGCCACCTACAAGGCAGTGACATTCCAGCCTGGCCTGGTCTGGGGGCATTAGGACCCTCGAAACAGAATGACACAGCATGGGCAGGTAGCATCCAACTAGCCCGGGTGCCTTTCAGGCACGGAAGAGTGAGACTCGCCCCAGGGACATCTCCAGTCTGGGAGGGATTGATAGGGAGCACCAGAGGCCCTTGCCTCTCCCTGGGGTGCGAGTGATGAGTCACTGGGGAGCTGCAAACAGCCTCAAGTCATTCACATTCCTGAGGGTGCCCAGCTCCAGGCTGTGTACAGCCACGTGGAGGGAGGCCGGCTCAGAAGCATCAAAATCCCAGCTTCCAGGGTGAGCAAGAATAAGAGGATCCTAATCCCCACGGCTGCCAGAGTCTCAAGCCCAGAGCCTCTAAGTGACCCCGCTGCCTGGGACTGAGAGGCCTGTGGGCTGAAATGAGAGCACCTGTCATAGTCACACAGGCCACCTCAAAAGGTCCCTAAGCTTTTCCCTTCTCAGTTAACTCAGAGTGGCTGATACAGAGGAGTGGGCACGCAGGAAGCTTAGCTCAAAAAGCCAGGAGCATTCGCCTCCTCCAGGGCAGTGACCTCCCCTGCTGTCACAGGACTGGAAGGTCTGACTGCTCGGGACGCGTCTGGGTCCTGTCTCCGCAGTAGTAAGCACCTGTTGGGCCCTCCCCAGGCTGACTCCCCCTGTGCTCGCCGCTTGGCATAAACTTTGAAAAAGAGAAACGAGGGCTGGCAGCACAGGGGTTAAGATCACTTGCTGCTCATCCAAAGGATCTGATTCCAGAACCGACATGGAGCCGGCAACGTCTGTAACTCAAGTTCCAGGCGATCCAACGCCCTCTTCTGGCCTCTGAGGTCACTGCATGCACACAGTACACATACATACATTCAGACATAATGCCCATACATATCAAACAAAACTAAAAGAGAGAAAGAAACAAAGGAAGCATGCTAGGGAGGGGCATCCTGATCCCGCCCAGCCCTGCTCCTGGGGTGCCCACCTGGCCTCTGGTCACCGGTGCTCACGAGGTAGCCTGCCTGGCTCAGGTGGCATGGGTAGCAGTTCCTCCAGAGATAGCGGTAGTGAGTGCCAGTGACACCCACCGGGCTGCCTAGGAGCCCAAGGCACCAGAGCATAGCCAGCCCTCCCCAGCCCCGGGATGCCTTCATGCTGGGTCCGTGGAGTGGTAGGCGGCCTGGGCTCAGGAATCTTGTTCAGGGCTCACAGATCAGGGCTCCAGCTCCAGGCTCCAGTGCACACCCAGCTCAGACACAGACAGTCGGAAACACTCCAACTCCAAGGCACTCACTGTGAGCTTGCCGGCAGGGAGCAGCGCTGAGTCTGGCACGTCCCGCCCCTCTGCCTTTATGGTCTCAACTTTCCCTCCACCCCTTGCAGGTAAAGGCCAAATCCTCAGACTCCAGAGGGAGCCGCCTCCACTCCTAAGCCCCGCCCACCCACCCCCAGAGGGCCGGGTTGGTCCCACCACAGCATGCCCCCCCCCCCCGCATTCCTGCTGGCACACACACACACACAAACCCACACAAACCACAGGCACATACAGACACAT